CCCAAAAGATATTGATCTAATTATATGTGACAGTCATGAAATCAGATTTGATCCAAGGAAAGCTTGAACTAAGAAACCTAGAAAATAATTTTCAATGATGTGCATGATGATTATGTTAACAAATCACCAAAGCACAATTTTGGAGAAGAAAAAATATTTATTGAACTTTTAAGGATGTAAGATATTCAAAAAAAATTATAAATCTAAAAAAAACAACATGATTAGATAGAAATATCATTTACTTACTTAAAATATAATTTCCAATTATATGCTTTGATGATTTTGTCACTCAATCACTAAAACATGATCTTTTGAAGAGATAAACATTTATTAGACTCATAAGAAAGTACCAATAAAAGTCATAAACCCAAAAGAAACTGCACGAGTTGATACATATCCTTTCCTTTGTCTTTGTGTCACCATCAAAACATGAAAAGTCAAGGATAAAGAAGAATAACTCATTAAAAATTTAATAAAACATCATATATTAAATGATACTTGTCATCTACAAAATAAGAGGTAGTCTAAGGTGTTAAAAAATAAGAAAAAAGTGTGGAGAGATTATGTTTACAACCCTAAGGCCTTGGTTGTCTATCACCTAGTTGTCACCTCTTATTTGAGCACAAAAAAGCTTCCCTTCATTTGTAGTCTCCAAAGTATATATACCTACACCCTTTTTGAGACTTGTTTCTTCATCCTTTGTGTGGCCTAATTAAGTTCAATCTTTTGGATGCTATGTTTAATTTTTTTATGTCTCAGTTCATCTTTTCTCATGTTTTGGTACTTAAAATTTTTAACATTCCATACTAATTCTTTTCACTTTAGCAAATATGAAGAAATTAATCTCCTTGGAATAAAATTTTGAAATTTTAAATCCCTCTTCCTAAAAATTTTTGATACATTCTTAAGATGATAAATCTTGGAAAAATATTAGAAAATGTTAGTAGTTAAATCCATAAATTACATGATATAGATATATATAAGTTTAAAGTCATTTATACATATCTTTTAACATTTGCTATAATACGATGAGATATAGTAATTCATGCTTATTTTGATTTATTAATGCAAAATTCAAAGAGATAATTAATTCTTAGTGATAAACTTTGGGGGCTTTGTGGTGAGGAGGACATTCTTGAACCTTACCAAGATTGGCATTGTCTAATCATCTAAATCCAACTTGATCCAATGAAGCCTTTTCATATAGTGCATGCCCAATATGATGTTGATGGGTGACAATAGAAAAAAGATAAAATCATCTTAAATTGAGGCTTACAACAAGTTGATGATGAGGCTGTGACACATCTTCAAGCTGAACATTATTTCTCTCATACGTGTGACCACTTAGTATTTGGTTGTCTTGGTCAACGACACTTTCATCTCTTTGATCAATTGACTGCTAACAAAATTGTAAATGGCCTTGGTGTCAAGTAAGATTGATACTAGTCACCTATGAATTGTGTGGATACCCTAGATGTTGACACACGTAGTGTGTTTTGACACATATAGTGTAAAATTTATTTCCAAATAATTCTAAAATGAGTTGAATCATAATATGCAGCAAAATTATTTTTATCACAAGACAGGTTTAAATTAACAAATATTCAAATCATATATATCAATGATATTATGTGAAATCCTATGATTAACAACTAATCTAAGGAATCATTCTCTTGAGATATCTTTCTATATAAGTAATGTAGAGCAATATTTTCTAAATATAAAATATAACATATAACAAAGTCTCACAAATATTCTAGAAATCTAAAGTCATCAACAAGATTCAAACACATCACCTAAACAATGTGAAGAACAAAGTGTTAGTACAAAAATGTTTGAAATATCAAAAATATAATATTACAAACATTAGATTTAAACTCAAGAAGTATGCTAGATAGAAGTTAAAAAAAAAGACAATCAAACTAAGAAAAATTTGAATTTAGAGTTTTGTAATAATACATGTAAAGCTGGTCGAAATATTTAATATAAAAAATATGATAAGTGACTAAAGTAAGGCTCAAACTCAATAGCCTCAAAGCAACTGAGTTAGATTGTTGCCATGAAGCAATGAAGAAGACGAAGTCATTGCCAAATAATATGTACCATGATATGCCAGTTTCCTAGGTGGAGAAAACAATAAAACAAAACAATTGAGCTTTGCCAAATAATGTACCATGATATGCCAGTTTCCTATGTGGAGAAAACAATAAAATAAAACAACTGAGCTTCAACTTAACATCAAGTGAAAGATCAATTGTTGAAGTTACGCGCATCTTCAAACAAAAGCTTTGAAGATCACTTGTGAGAGACATGCACATTTCAAAGCAAATTAAGACCCAAGGTCAACCTCTCACACTTTGGATGACAAAATATAACTAAAGTATGTTAACTAAATGATAGGCTCAACGATAATATTTTAGTTTGACCCAAATTAATCAAAGTATGCTAAACATGCAAATTGTAATATCTGATCAAAAGTATGACTAATAGTTAAAAATCCAAATTTTGGATGGTAACTAGTCAATAGAAGACGTGGACTAAAGACTAGCCAAACAATTTCCTCTAAGTAAGACTCTTAAAAATCTCCATATAAGATAACATGAACAATTATCATCAAAGTAGAAAGTTTAAAAGTAAAAAATAATTTAAGGTCACTGAATTACTAATAGAATAACAAGAAAATGTTCAAATTCATATATAATCATTTTTAGACATTGATATGACATAGAGTATAAATAGAGTGAGTTGTGAGCAACCTAAAGTAATATTGAATGCAAAAAATTACATCAACATCATTCACACGAGTTCAAAGGAGGATCTTACTCAATCTTCTATAATAAAGCACCCTAAGGTAACTTAGGTGGTGACTAGAGAAAGGGTTAAGTTAAAGCACAAGGTGTTGAGAGTCATATTTCATATGTAAAAGGTATTAGTCTCTGATGAGAAGCGTACCTATGCTTAAACACATGGTGTTGTGAGTCATAAACTGTCAATGAGGGGTGAGATATTTGTGGAGATTGAATTGTGGTGTTAGGAAGGTTGAGCTCGTCAAATCAATAATATTGTTATTAAAAAGTAGTAGAAATTCAGAAGGAAAATTCTTTGATATTGGACAGTCTAGGGAAAGATGAATCAATATAAAATCTGTGTCCATATCAATGTAATTGAAGGAGAGATAAATCGACAAAGTAATAAAGATTAGATCCTTAAGCTGAGTTATATATAATGTTTATAAATTGAGTTAGAATGTGTATCGATAGTAGAACATCAATTCACCCTGAAACCTGATACTTCACCTAGTCATACTATATCTTATAAATTGTCCCTCTAAATCTCATCACATGATTATGTGTTGTCTAAGATGGAGTGTAAGCCTACCTCTAACTGCGCTAGAGTGTTGTCTTCTTCTGAGCAGTCAAGAAGGCTTTCTTCTTCAGGACAGTTTTTCTGAAAGCCGGAATTGACATGTGTGAACAAAATATTCAACTCTCATTTTCATTTGTGTCCCAGTGTGAACTTTTCATCACAATGGAAACATAGACCTTGTACTTGACTTGCCTGTATTTCGGCAACTATGAGGTGGAGTTGTCTTCGGTGATCTCCCGAAGTTGAGGCACCGAAGGTCAGCGGCTTTGACCCTAAGATCACCGGGTTGGTGTAATTTTCGTTTTCTTCTTGTTTGATTAGTGGGGTCGTGCCGGGTCGTCTCTAGTCGTAAGCCGGAGTCCCCGTCTCTTGCCACAATGCAGGATGTAGTCTGCCCGTCAATCCACTGTCGGCCAGTGTAAGTAGCTTGGTCTCTACCCCTAGGTTGTCTGCATGATAGCCTCAAGCTTGTGAGGGTTGAGCATGTAGACCTCAGCCTGAATATTGCGTCGGAGGCCCTTCAGAGATGGGCAGTATTTACTGGCTTTGACTTTCAGTGAACCGTAAAGCTATTGAATTGATCACCTCCAGTTTCATGGCATACCTGGTTTCCCTAGTCTTCCTTGTGTTCCCTTACCCTTTCCCCCCACGTCTCTCTCTCTCTCTCTCTCTCTCTCTCTCTCTCTCTCTCTCTCTCTCTCTCTCTCTCTCTCTCGCTCGTACTCTCCCATGAGACCCCCGTTCCGGGGCTGAAGGCGAGGAGACATCGTCGCCCCGGCGCGGCTCGCTGTGGGGGCAGCAGATCAACCCAAGATTCTCATCGGTACAGTGCCCATGCGGACTGTTCTCCCTTCTTATATATAATATCTATACATCTCTCTCTCTCTCTCTCCGAGCAGTGTTAGGTCTAAAAAATATTATAATGAGGTTTTGGGCCGAGGCCAGCTATTGATGGGCTGACCCTTACGCCACCACCACCATCGAGTGAGAGAGAGACAGAGAGAGACAGAGAGAGACAGAGAGAGACAGAGAGAGACAGAGAAAGAGAGACAGGGAGAGCAGAGTTGATACTCGCACTTATTGGGAGTGGAAACTAAGGTGTCGATGTGGTTGGGCTCCGAGTTTATACCGACCGTCTGTTATGATAATGCGTTGGCGATTCCTCCAGAGTCGAAAGAAAGTCAAACCAAATCCAGAGGTTTCTACTCGCTGGCTCTGGGACTGGGCTTCAGAGATCCTCGGAATTCGCCGTCCTACACTGATCCAAATAGGCGGATAAAAAATGATAAGAACCCGCATGGTTCAGACTCACTCCCAGCACCAGCGTGCGGGTAGTCTACCAGGAAAGACGATTCCCAGGAGAATTTCAAACTCCTGCTGGTTCACCATTTCAATTCGCTTCTGAACAGTTCAGGCACATTTCAAGCATCAGATGGGAACAGGGGAGAAGCTCCCTGGAGGATTCCTCCGATCTCCCACTCAAATGGGGTACAAGAGTTACAGATTCTGAAGAAAGAAAGAAAGAAAGAAAGAAAGAAAGAAAGAAAGAAAGAAAGAAAGAAAGAAAGACCCTCACCCACTTTACACGGAGAAACCTCCAGCTGCCGTGAATCACAACGATTTGGGGGAGCAACTCAGAAATTCAGCAAGGAATACTTCACTCTCAGAGTGATCTTCCCCTTTTTGTCCACCCCCAGCTTGGCCCCGGTGACAACCCAGTGGCCTGGCGGGTCCTGCGGGCCCTTGCTCATCTCAGAGAGGTCCACAAACCTGCTCAACCCCGTCTTCGCATCCTTGGAGCTCGAGCTTTGGGCACTGGAATCCCCACGTTCCCTGGCAGGAGGATTCTCCGAGCTGTGATCCCAGAAGGACCTCCTGACTGAGCATCCGGGGACCTTCAAGTATAGGAGCTTCATGAACAGGACGTTCTTGGCCCCGAAGTTCCAGACCCCAAGCTGGGCGCCGGTGACTATGTGAGCGCCGGCCAGGTCGCCGATGGAGGTCTCGTTGTTCCCCACGGGAGCCGTGCTCACATGGGAGAAGTTCTTCCACTTGACGGGCTCGAACCATCGGCTGTCCTGCTCCTCTGGGCCGAGCCATTTCGGCGCACCGGTCGCAATGTGGGCGTCCCAGTGGGGAACCAGGATCCTCGGAAGGGAGACCAGATGCTGCGCCTGTATGCACAGCCTGTTCTCCTTCGTCCCTTCCAGTGAAAGCCTTAAGCCGGTCACTGGCCTACGGCCTGCCAACACCTGCAATTGGTATCACTATCAGCGCCTGAAGGAGAGATCTGCGGGAAGAAGATGGAGCCTTTCATGGCGGAATCCACCAGGAGGAATACCTGTTCTTGGCTCACGTAGAGCTTCTCGCCCATCATGCTGAACTGCAAGAATGGGCAGACGGGCTCCTTCCGCTGGAGCCCCGGGAGGTCGCTCCTCACAGGGGCCCACACTCTAGGGATCTGAAACTCCAAGAAATATCTCAGCTCCTCGATCGGAGGTTTGTCTGCAGAATATTTAGAAAAAAAGAAGAAGACATAAAACAGCCATCTGGGTATTTAAATAAAAAGTTGGGAGAAGTTGGGTGCCTTATGATCATACGTTCAAGGTATAGCGAGATCGCACGAATGAGGTGGTCCTTCCCGGGGATTCCATCAAGCAAGCAGGTGATTGGATAGAAGCCCATCTCGATCACATCAGGTATTCGGTGCGCTGTTCTTGTCCAGTCACGGTGGCTCTGCACAAGCTCGTCGCCACCCTGACGCCGGAATATCACAGTAACGTCCTGCACGAGTGGAATTCCCCACAAGGGAGAGATGTCAGTCAACGGTAGGTGAAGAAAAGTCAACTCGTCTCAAGGCAGAAGCCATTATCGGGCGTGGATGCTGTCGTCTCAAGTCAACTCGTTGAGAAAGGACATTGGATGCTGTCGTCCATTAAGAAAAGTCAACTTGGCGAACTGTAGGTGTCACCATTCATTTAAACACATTAATTGAGGTAAGAAATCAATAAGGCGCAGAAATGTGCGACAGGGGTTGACCAAGGGAAAGACTTTGGAGTTGACTTTTCCCCATAAGGTGTAGTGCTACGAGCAAGGAGTGATTCAGGATAACGGATTCTATAAACTGAAAAGTGGGCACATCCGATCCCTCAAAAGAGAAAAAAGTCAGAAAGAACCACGTACTTCTTTTCCAGCGAGAAAAGAGGAGCTCAGGGGTTGTGGGTGCACCCCTTGGCTGTTGAACAGGCCAGGATCCGCAGCCTGCCAGACCAAGAAAGCAAATCATCAGTTCATCAAAACGGAGCACCCGAACAGACCTTCACTGGGTGACCAAAAAAGGAAAGCAACTAGCCTTCTCCTTTAATTTCAATGGACCTGGAGCTGTACTAACTTCATTATCCGAGAACCTCTGATCCCCCAGATCCCGGATGTAGTTCTTGATGTCCAGGACTGACAATGGCGACGATGTCTGCTGTTTGACATAGATGACGTCCTTCCCGCCGACTGTCACAGAGGTGACAACGTGGGTGCCATGGTTCTTGATGAAGCTACAAAAACGGGAAGAGTGGGTGAAGAACGGCGGCAAGAACGAGAGAGGGCGGCAGGACCAAGGACGATACCTTGCCAGAGAAGATGGGTCCCATGAGAGGGGCACAGCACGCTTGACCTCTTCTTGCAGTGAGAAGGGGTACTTCACCAGTTGGATCTCGCACAAGGAGATGAAGATTCCGTCCATGGCAAGACTCTTGGTAGCAGAAGCATCGATTTCCATGGAGCCCGTATGGCTGAATGCACTATTAAAGCTTCCAAGGGGCACATGGCCGGAGAGCAGGGCCTTCCGGTTGAAATACTCCGCCATCTGCATGAATCCATATTGAATGATGGTGGCATTTCTAAAGATATTCCTGAATAGATCATAGTCCAAGAGGCACTAATTGCCCACAAATAGTGTTTCTTGTTCATATTAATGTAACATAAATGGAAGGAATTAGTACTTGTGTGGGTCAAAGCTCGTCATTTCAAAAGAATTATACTTGGCGTGCCCCGGAAGATGATGAAATGCATGAAATTTATGACAGTGTGAAACTACTGATGATTCCAGATGATCTAATCGATGATCAAAAAGATAAACTTGGAAGAATCTGATGCATAAAAAATAAGCGTCCAACCAAATATCTGGGGAAGGATCTCGGTTTTGCTAGGATCCATCCCTATGACAGTTTTCAAGTCCCAACTATCTGAGATCACGGGATGACTAGTGTAATTTTTAGTCACTTCACGGTTGGCATCCTCTTTGGTCAACCCGTTGACAAAAAAGATAACATGTTAAACCCATGGTGTGTATAAGCTGTCCTACAACTACGAATATTTGCCCAATTGGAAAAAAAAAAAGTTGTAAATACTTATGCAGAGTTATTCATCCTCAATGTGGATCGATGCTTGGAATCTCAGAAAATCAGGTCAAACTGTGCGAGGGTCGTCAAGCCAACATTCTAGAAAACTCAATAACACTTCACATCAAAAAACCTCTGCTGATAAAATAACTGATCATCAACTTTAGTCTTTCCATCGATTTGGAACTTCCAAGAAGCTAAGAACTGTGCGAACCGTGAGAATGCTTAAGAAGATAATTGATGAAGAGAGAACTCAAGCAGGCAGAGTCAACCAACCAAGCAGATTAAGAGAAACCCAAGAACTGCCAGAAGATAATGCCGAAGAGGCTCGTCTCGTACGTGGAGAAACAGCTAGCCCGGCTCGATAGAACATAACTTTATTCCGAAGAATATAGGATGAGGTTACCGAGAAATATTCAATGTAGATGTCGAAAGCAATTGCGAGTATGATCCGCAGATAGCAGTAGATAGAAACGACAGGCTAATGCCATCTAAGGAAGAAGACAAGGATGAATCTGGACCGATTTCAGATGGAAAACAGCGAGGAGCACGGCTTCAGCTAACCTCATGGAAACTGCAAATCGCGGTGCTCACGCGCTTTGTGCTCCCCTGAGAACACCTCACGTCCCTGGGGACGTTGGGCACAACCAGGTCCCCGAACACCGGCAAATCCCTCGTGTGATCTTCGTCAACCTCGATAACCCTAGAGCCGCCGACTCCCTTGCAGTAGAGCAATCTCGTGTCGCAGTTTACATCGAAGCCCCGACCCAGGGCTCGAATCGCGTTCTGGACAGTGTCGAGTGCCGCCGCATTATCCTCCATTCGCATGACAAAAATAGGAAGAAACTGATCCAAAGTGACTCCAATCCCACTGCAGTCAAGACACGGGATCGGACTCTGCAGCCACAGAATCCGACCCCCACCTCTCCTCCGCAGGCCGAAAATCGCCCAGCGACAGGTGATCCTCAGAGAACGTTCGGCAGGGAAGTCTTCTTCCTATCATACCTTTACCCCGGGAAATATCATCTGCTTTCTTCCCGCCGATCAGGAGATGCTCAAAACGCCTGTCCACAATCCTTCGGCTCGAAGCCAACTCCTCCGAGGAAAAACCCAGATGAGAACGAAATATTGCGACCTCGAAAAGGATCACCCAGGAGGCGGTCGCCCAGTTGAAAAATCTGTCTCGCCCAGAAATCGACAGATAACACGGGTTAGCCGCCTCCACAATTTTGCAGAGAACGTGAACAGCCCAGCAACCGAAATATCTGCCTCTCCAAGACTCGATTTTCACCGTAAACGGAGCACGCAACGGGCAGAGAGACCCCGGGAGAAAGGGCGAAAGTTAGCGCTCCCACACTAGAAGACAAGCCTCTCTCTGTGAAGCTTGTACCAGAGGCCGGGCACGGAATTGACTTCTGACAGGGAGGGAATTGGTCGACGGGATGCCGTTCGATCTGTTTCTTGCCTGTTTGACCAAAGACCGTTGACCCTGGAAGGGACACAACCGCCCGGATCTGCCCCCATGTCGGCTGAAGCTCCGCTTGCTTGACACAATTATACTTATTTTAAATGCCTTTAATTGAAATATTAAAAAGACGGGTTTTTCATTAGATTTGGCTCCGTAAGTGCTCTCACTGAAAGGATCCCCGCCGGTATTTGATCATTACACAACACCCGTCTTAATCACCAATCACGGGGGGCGGTTGTGGGGAAACTCCGTCCAAACCTAGCCAGTCAACGTCTGCCTAGCTCGCTCTCGCGTCAGCGGAGTGCTGGCAGGCCACGTGGATCGGCGATGGCGGCGAGGGCAGAGCTGGATGGTTAACCTCAGGAAGATGCCGGCGCCATCATTTTCCTCGTGAACCAATCGCCATTAAATACTAAAGGACGAACTTTGGGCCCAGAAAAATCCCATCTTTCTCTCCACGGCTGAATCTACTTGGCAGCCCAAAACCCAGTGACATCCTGGTGCAGAGAAGAGACAGTCCCCCACCCGCCCTCTCCGACTAGAGATGTCTGGGACGTCTCACCTTCCCTACGAGAAACATGGAGGAAAACTATGCAGTTGGGATTCGGAAATTTTCCGGTAGGAGAAGCCGGTCTTCAGCCCAATTGAACTCAAGAAATCTGCAAGAAACCCATCAATATCTACACTCCAATCAAAGCAAGATGTGTTGCCCAATCGACGCAGGAGCTGGATACCGAGTCACCTCCACTGCAGTTTCCTGGCAATCTCGATGCACGTTGCCATCGGGCAGTCAGTCTTCAAGGCGTTTAAGGAGATGTGCGACCGGCTTGCCACATAACCCTCCTAAAAAAGGAAAAGCAGAAGTCCTTTGTCACTGGAGTCAGAAAATGGCTGAAGTTGGGGACTGGGAAACCAGCTCCCGTGGCACAAATCTGCCATGCGACCCATATTTGTGCTGCCCCTCTCTCTCCTCTCTCCATATAAATAGCACTATTTGCCCTATTTTCTAACATGGCATCAGAGCTGAGGGCTGCCCGTCCCCCATTTATGTTGCCCAAATGTCAGCCCAAAAAGTCTGCTTGGACGGGAGGATGCATGTCAAAAATAGTCCCATATTCCTTATTTAGAAATAAACTTGGTGATTTACTCCAATAAATTCTGATTGTGATTACCTTCTGAAGGGAGCTCATCAGGGCACCGAGCGGAGGAGAATTTATCTTGGCTCTGCGTGCAATCTGGAAGCCACAGCCAAATAGAGTAAGTTGACCTTCGTTGATCTAATGCCACGTGAAGGGTCAACCGTTCATGCAGGATAAATGGGACCTTGAGAAGGGTATGATTATCAGAGAGAGATCAGACCTCGTCGACTTTGATGTACCCAAATGGCAATCTAGGGTCGCTTTCTTCAAGCATCCTCTTCAACAGCTTCTCTAAATCTGTCCACCCAAACTCCCCAGCTAGTTCAAGCATTTCCCCTACATAGTTGGCATCGTGAAGAGCTCCAGTCCACACAGGACCAGACACAACAAGGGATCGAGAGACCTGAAATGAGCAGGTCAGAGGGGGTTCAGAATCATTTGATTATGACTGAAAGAATGCCTTCATTGATGACGCAAAGTCATTTTTTAAGTGGTAACTGCAAATGTTTACTCGTCAATCATGGTCAAAATGATCTAATATCTTCAACATGGGTAAGAAGAGGATATGTCCCTCAACAACAGACGCCTAAACTAGTTACTGAGAGAATTTCTGACAGACAACATACTTCAGTACCTCCCCACTACAGCATGGGCAACACATCTGCCCAAGTTGTTCCCACGAAAATCCTTGGGAATGCCCGCATCTATTGCAATAGCTGATGAAGCCATAGTCACTGCAGAGAGAAACAGCCCACAGCATTTGGTCGGATTATATGCATAAAGATAAATGAGTAAAATCAGGAACAGAGAGAGTCCTCCACGAGATCTTACCAAGGGTCATGAAGCTTTCCACGGAGCACTCGGAGCATCACTCTGAATACAGGCCCATGATAGGAATAATATGAGAAAAGGGGTAAGAGATGGAAGCCTAGAGCAGTTGCTTCACGTAAAGCCCCACCTATAAGCATTCTGAGCCCTACCTCATTCGAGTATGGCATGTGACGAATATAAGCTCCGTATGAAGCTAAAGATCTAAAATTTAGAAAGATTAAAAAAAATGAGAAGTTAGTAACCCGAAGAGAAATATTAATAAAGGGTTGATTAAATCATTTTTTTTCAGGGGTAATAAATCCTATTTTTTAGGGGAAAGAATTAATTCTTCAACCATGTAGGCATTTAGTCTCAGCTATCTGGTTTTATCTTGACTAGAAAATCTCCAAGTTATTCCATAACTCTGTCTAGTTGACCTCCAGAGGCTCAATGTGGTAAGCGGATGGGAAGTAAAAAAATTAACGATGGGCTTATTATGACGATTTTTCTCCGTTAAAATAGATAAAAACGCGGTATTCACGATCTAGTATCCGAAACTCCAGAGGTGGGTTTGATCTTCAGAGCAAAAAAATCCCAACTTACTGCTGAGGCCGATGCCCTCCCGAGGTATACCCATCGGTGGAGGTGACGTACAGCAACCCTCCGAGCTTCACTGACAAAATAGCGGACCTCAGGAAAGAGGAATCGCTTCCGAAGGAGTCGACATCCACCATATCGAATAACACCCTCTGGAGATAATTCTCCGCCATAACCCTGTTCGCATCAGAATGCGACACCACCCATTTCCTCCTCTCCCTTCCAGGCGGTGCCGCCCCGCCGGCCCTGGAGAGGTTGGAAACGATGACCCCACGAGAATCCTCGTTGGCGTCGTTGGCCCACACGAAGCTCGCCCCGGCCTGGCGGAGGTAGCGCAGGGACCGCACGCCGCAACCGCACATGGCGTCGAAGATTCGCATCTCGCCGCCTAGGGCCCGCCGGTGGAGTGCCGCCGAGAGGACACCGAGGTCGCGGCCGACGGCGCTCTCGCGGCGGAAGAAGGACCCGGCCGTCTCGAACTCGACGCCCCTCTCGACCTCCATCGAGCAGGAGATGTGGGCGCACGCGGGCCTGCGCAAAGGAGATGGGTTTTTACAGGTGGGCAAGCTGTGGAGGAGGGGAAGTAGCGCCATAGCGGCGCAGAGGAGGGGAAGGACCCTCCGTATCCTGTTATTCTACCTCTGTCCCAACGCGGATCACGTCGGCGACCCAACAACGGTCAGCTGCCGACCGTTGAAGCTCGTCAACAGAGAGAGGAATGATTAATGGGCCGATCGGCCCATTAACAGCCTAATAACAAGACAAGCCTTCCAGTCATCTCATACTCTCCCTCTAATATCTTCTTCATTTGTCCCTCGAAAGCAGCTCTTTTTTCACAGTTAGTATTCATCTTTCTGAAATATAAATCTTCATCAGCTCCCTCTCTCTCTCTCTCTCTCTCTCTCTCTCTCTCTCTCTCTCTCTCTCTCTCTCTCTCTCTCGCTCTCTCTCTCTCTCTCTCTCTCTCTCTCTCTCTCTCTCTTCTCTCTCTCTCTCTCTCTCTCTCCTCTCTCTCTCTCTCTCTCTCTCTCTCTCTCTCTCTCTCTCTCTCTCTCTCTCTCTCCCTCTCTCTCTCTCTCTCTCTGCTCTCTCTCTCCTCTCTCCTCTCTCTCTCCTCTCTCTCTCTCTCTTGCTCTCTCTCTCTCTCTCCTTCTCTTCTCTCTCTGTCGCTCTCTCTCTCCTCTCTCTCTCTCCTCTCTCTCCTCTCTCCTCTTCTCTCTCTCTCTCTCTCTCTCTCTCTCTCTCTCTCTCTCCCCCTCTCTATCTATCTATATCTATATAACTTTTAAAATATATATTATCTTTTTTGCGATGTTATAAAATGTTACCCACTTAAAATAAAATTGTTGTTTTGTGATTACCTTGATATATGTCGCATATTAATCGGCAAATATCCGGATTGGTGCCTTGGGCAGTGTGTTTTGCTCACCTTCTCGCACTTAGTTTCTCGGTCAACGTTGACAAGGAGGGCCCATTCGATTGACGGGTTAAGATGGGAAAACCGTGGAATGCATTGACGGCGATAATTAGACTTTTGGGGCGAGGGGGAGGCTGCGTTCTTGCCGGTGACCGGAATATTGTGGGCGGCGAAGAACCGGCGACTAAAGGGTCAAAGATAGAATGGCTACAGAGTTTTGCCCCCATTGACTAACTATCTTGGCCAGAAAGAGAGGGGAGAAGGCTCATCTGGGTAGGTTTCTTCCGATGACGGATCGAGCGCGGCCCACAGAGGAAAAACCCCTCATTTCGGTTTTTCTAGCGGCTCCCAGGTAGTTCTTCAACCTTGGTTGTGGAGTTTTGCTGAATCCTGGTCTCCTCTGTAATCCTTGAATTTGGAAGTTGCCCTTCGGTTCTCTCGATCATTATTGGGAGCCCTGGAGGTCCTCTGAGTGCTGTCCTCCCACCCTCCCCTCCCCCGTCACCGCCATTTTTCCGGGGAAAAGTCCCCCGCATGGGCGACGTCAAGGTCTGCGCGCCGCCCCGTCCGGACGGCCTGTTCGTCGAGGAGGTTCCTTCGGGCTTCGTTTTACAGTCGTCGAATCCTCATCCTCTCACGATTGATGCCGACAACTGGCGGCTGGCGGAGAGGTTGACCGAAAGGATAGTCCGGCGGATTCAGCCCACCAAGCTGGCCGACGAAGGGAGGGGGAAGATTGTGGAGCATGTTCGAAGTCTGATCAAAGGAGTCGCCGATGCCGAGGTATTTCCTGCGATGGTCATCGCCATCCTCATTTCAGTCGAATCATAGCTCAAGTGCTGGATCTATCTTCTTCGTTTCTGTTCCTGACTTCTCAGGAAGTTTCTTTGCCTGCTCTACCGGATTTTCTGTTCTTCCATTGCAATTTATCAATGTTCGTCATTATCAAACTAACTTCTGTGTAATCGAATATCCCTCTTCATCTCATTAGTTACAAGCCGAATCAATCCCAGTAGGGATGAACTGGATCTTCCATCCTCCCCATTTGTCTCTCTCCATGGAGGAAGATGGTCCGAAATTTTTGTCAAGAGTAGTCACTTATTAGTTACTGCAAATATGAACATATGATTATGACGATGACTCAATTTCACACATTGCCAGTTAGTTTTTACAGCTGCTTTACAATTATTTTAGATATGATACTTACCACTTTAGGTCGCATGAACTCTACTTATGCTCTCTACATAAAAAAGCCCAAAAAACGAACACAAATTGAACTCACACGTGAGTGGTTGTGCTTATAATAGTCGTTCATTTTTTATTAAAAATAGAAGTATGTGATTATAAAGATGAGCCCATTTTACTCGTTGCTGATTTGTCTTGAGTTGGCATCCACATAACTATTTCTGCTTGCTCAATTAAATTTTTTCCCATGCAAGCTCCTCGTTTCATTGCTTTTTCTTAAACGGTTGCGTCACTACGAAAAATTAGTAGTTTGCATGAATCTGCCGTCAGAAGTTCCTCCTAGTGATTGCCATTAATGTGTGTTGGTTTAAAAGAAAACATGTTTAATTGCTTCCCGTATTATATTTCATGCTGGGCACCCTAATTTATTTGAAATGGTATTTTATTTTTTGTCATTTTAAGTTGAAATTATATTTGATTCAGCGGCCTTCTGGAGGATCTGGATGGTTGCTTATGCCGCATTTTTGGGTGGGGATTACGTTTGGATTCATGCCATGAATATTTTGATGGAAAGCTCTGATGCTGAGGTCTGTTCTGATCTTCTATTTGCAGATATTCCCATTCGGTTCAGTGCCCTTGAAGACGTATCTTCCTGATGGCGATATCGATCTAACAGTGATCATAAGACAGGGAAATGAGGATTCCCTGTCCAAAAATGTCCTGGCTGTTCTTCAGGACAGAGAGCAGAAAGGGAGTTCTCAGCTTGAAATCAAGGATGTACAGTATATTAATGCTGAGGTGCCTCTCATCGCCATCTTGTTAGAAATTATTGCCTGGAAAGAAGTTCTCGATGATCGTACAATAATATATTTATTTTCTTTGCATGATGGGGGGGCTCCCCCCATCTCCCCCTTTTGCATGTTCTTCGTGAAACTGCTGTGTCATAGATTCTTTCGTATGGGAGTTTTATCCTGTGGGGAGATGAATAAATGAAGGAGATTAGCATCTTGAACACCTTATGGTCTTAGATTCGGCTTAAAAGGTAGATGAAGATGGTTTAGGCTGGGGAAATTGAGAACGCCAACGTGGGAGTAATCGGCGATCGGGTTTTATAAGTAGCAAAACCTGTAGCCGGGTTTTATCTGGCATGCAAGTACAATCTGCCTACCATCAGCATTTATCATTAAAAGGTCAATGCATGTGTAGAAGTCAATTCAATGGGCCCATTTTCATTACCATGGCGTTCCAAGGGCAATGCCGATCAAAGATTAGAAAAATGATAGAGAATTTTTTTTTATTGAACTTTATTGAGGATGTGAGCACAGGGAGATTCATTCGGAGGGTGTTTTAATATAATTTAAAAGCGTCCTAATACATCTTGGTCCAGCCAGAAATTAATGTGAAAGTTTACCTCTGGACTAATATTCCCAAAAAAAAAAAACATTACGCCTCGATAGATTCATCCTTTTATTTTTTTATAAGATTCTGAGTATTTTTTTTCAGGTCAAACTCGTGAAATGCCTGGTTCAGAATATCCTGGTGGACATCTCCTTCCAGCAGTCCGGTGGGCTCTGTACTCTGTGTTTTCTTGAGAAGGTATGATGGCCCAAGTGACAAGAAACCCAGATTTACACCTAATTTTCCTTGTGATAAATGGACCAAGAAAAATAATAAATTGACATTTTCTGGTTTCTGCAGGTGGATCAAATGATCGGGAAAGACCACCTCTTCAAACGTAGTATCATCTTGATCAAGGCCTGGTGCTACTACGAAAGCCGCATTCTTGGGGCCCACCATGGTCTGCTCTCCTCATATGCCTTGGAGACCTTGGTCCTCTACATCTTCCATGTCTTCCACTCGTCCTTGGACGGCCCTCTCGCAGTTTTGTACAGGTTCTTAGACTTCTTCGGCCACTTCGACTGGGACAATTACTGTGTCAGCTTGAATGGCCCGGTCTGTTTATCTTCTTTACCAGACATACTCGGTGAGCCCTCTCTCTCTCTTTCTCTCCAAATTTAGTAGACTTGATAGATCTTCTGTGTGGGCCTGAGGTTTCATATGATCACCAGCTGAGCCGCCGAGAATTGATGGAGATGCTCGGCTGCTCTCGAGAGATTTCCTCAAAACGTTTGAAGATGAATTCTTGACACCTCTTGCCTGGTCAGAGGGAAACTCCGGGTCTCGATCATTCCATAAGAAGCATCTGAACATAGTTGATCCCTTGAAAGCGAGCAACAATCTTGGCCGCAGCGTGAGCAAAGGTACTGGAATCAGGGTTTCTATTTTCCCCAACGGAGCATCTTCTTGGTTCAACGAAGCTCATCGCCAAACACTATTTATTTGCTTTTTAAATTCCTGGATCTGAATTGGTTCTCACGGACAGGAAATTCCTACCGGATTCGAAGTGCTTTCACCTATGGCGCCCGCAAGCTTGGGAGAATACTCACATTGCCCAGAGAGAGAATCGCCAAAGAACTCAACAAGTTCTTCATGAACTCGCTGGATCATAGTGATGGTGAACAATTGCATGAAGAAGATTCATCCCCAATGGCTTCAGAAAGTGCACTCTCTGGTACTAGTGAGACCACTGGATTGCCATTAAAGACCAGATGTGCCAGAGAAATGGCTTTTGTCTCTTCTTCTATCAGATCCCATGGAGTCGACAAACCTCAGGCTCAGGCTACAACAAGAAATACTGGGCCCTCGCCCAGGAGGGTTTTTCATGCCCCTCATCAGTTCTTCTGCAGAGAAGATGAAGCCACCCGCAGCAGTAAACCAGAGGGGATTTCAACATCTGAGAGCTCCATGAAGACAACGTCTGCAGACAGGGAGGACGACCCAGGTGAGGAGCTTGCCAAGAAGCGTGAGGGCACGATGGTCAGTGGTTACCATGCAGAGTCTTCTCCCTTTTCAGATCTCACTGGAGATTACGACACCCACATGAAGAATCTTCAGTATGCCGTGTGCTGCCTCGACAGACAGCCGTCCTCTTCCTTCTACACCAGGAATCAGCAGGAGGGCCTCTCTCGACACAACATGGTCCACCCTGTGATCACCAACTGGATGTTCCCTAGCCCATTCCATCCTGCCCCTGGCTATTATGGATCGAGTGCCCACGTTGTTCATTGTGGATATGGCCCAGAAAACATCCCAAGGACTCGGGGGACAGGGACATACATCCCAAATATGGTATGCCTGCTCTTCATAATTTCACCAATATCTCTCCCTCTTCCTTCCCTTTTTTCTCTCTGGGAGGAAATCTCCATAGGGACTCTTCCTCTGGCCGGTGAGTAACATCCGGCTTCATTGCCTCATGATGTTTACGCTCGTCTCGTCTCTGTAGAACCATTGGATGTACAAGGAGAGGGACCCACCGGCGAGAGGAAAGGCTGAGGCTCATGCAAGTCAGAGGACCCCGGGGGATAGCACTGGCCGTGAACGGCTATCACATGAAAGTACTTCTGGGTCGAATTGTCAACGGGGTCCAGGTCAGCTGGGGCTGGATCAGGCTCCATGCTCTACTTTTACTGGGTTCACGCAGCCAAATGTTTCCTCCCCCACACTTGAGACTGGAGCTGGAGCTGGACCTGGACCTGGACCTGAACTTGGGATCTCACACGAGCCGGTGGCCATTCCTGGAAGAGGGGCTCTGTCCAAAATAGTGGGGAGCTCCGCTGAAGAAAGGTTTGCAGCTTTAATGCCACCTGGTGTTTCTCTCTGAACTACCAGAAAGATTCATGGAGTGGGAACTGACAATCCCTCGCAACTGATCTGCAGGCCAATGGGATCTTCTTCGTATCAGCTGAAGAATGAGGATGACTTCCCACCTCTTCTATCATAGTCCCCCCGCATGGAGTGCATAGTATCCCTCTAGAAATCAAAGAGAGTACAGTGCCTTCGCTAACCAGGTCAGAATTAGCCCGTCAGCACCATTCCTCAGGTGGCAGGAGATTGGCAGTTGATTGTGGATTCCTTTTGTGCACCTTCCTCTGTGTCTGTGTTTGTAGATTTTTTTTTTTCCCTGTTGATTTCTCTTGAAAATCCAAGCTTGGTCTCAGGGTTTCTGCCTTGCGAATTCTTACCTGTGTAAAACGGTGATGACGTGATCGTTCAGCTAGGCAACATTTGATGCAGTTGGCTGTAAGAATGTGGTGGCAGTTCCCTGGTAACTCGTCAGCTTGAAGATTCGTTAGGGTTTAGCAGGCCCCTCTAGTCTGGTGGATAGACGATGCTCTGCTCCATGGCCAGCCTCGCATCACCCCTGATTATGATATTCAATCTATTACATTCTGCGACCCACCGTTGTTCTTCATTGGACCATTCACAGAATGAACATCTCCAGTCAAAATCACAGGAAGTCTTCATGGCTTTTATTACGATCCGCTCCTCACCTCTCAGTCAACGAAGGGAAAAGGTCAACGGATTTAAGAAAATGTTAACAAAGAAAAATAACGTAACTCCTTGAGTGTGTTGAAGCTCAGTCAACTCTCCCGACAGCTGGCCACAATCCAGATGGATGTTCCAGATGGAATACTACTTAAAAATCAAGAGGATCCACGAACACAGAAAGTTGCCTATTGCTGTCTTGAAGCTGATAGGAGCTGCCATCTCTTGATATGTATGGACTGTAGAACACCTCCCCTTTAGCACTTGGGCTGACTTTCGCACCCAGCTCCTTCCGTGGTTTGGTCTGTCCCAAGTTAGGAACATGTATCGTCAACTGCTCAGCCTCAAACAGGAAGATAAAGTCTTCGATTTTCGCCAAGAATTTGAAGCTTTGGCAGGATTTCTGTCACGCATCCCAGCAAGCAACGTGGAGAGCGCCTGCCTCGATGGGCAGAAGCCGGAATTGGTGGTGGCTGACATCAACATGTTTAAGCTAGCTAATATCCGAGAGATATTGGATATGGCCCAAATGGCAAAAGACTGCCTAAACATATGGTGACAAGCATGGAACACTAGAGAAGCAGAGATATCACAACCAGCCCCTAACAAGAGCTGGGAATGTCTCCTACTTCAGCCTCCAAATCCTACCATCGGACAACGAGAACCACTGGCAAGCAAGCACCTTTTGGTGTCACCAGAACCCCCAAGACATCAATCAATGGAAGGTAGTAAGAGGAAGATTAGATTGACAGATGCATAATTTTTGAGTCGTCGTGAGAAGGGTCTATGCCTAGTCATCGTTACAACATGGGGTTGTAGATATCAGTGGTGCATGAGGATGATAAGGACAGTGACGAGGAACAGACCACAGAGGTTAAGGAAACACTAGTAGGGACCACGATAGTAGACGCAGAATCAGATGACACATGTCTATCGAACTAGAGGATGAGAGTTGCTGGACCCCGGAGGTACTAGTGCACGGGAAGAAGTGACCACAAGTGAAAGTTACCGGGGAGTTGTTCGCAGTGGTCCAATGGTACATTCCTGATGTGCACTTAGGGGACAAGGTGCTCAACGAAGTGGGGGGTGTTGTAAGGCCACTATGCCACTTGTAGCTGACGGAGTGAACTGACACAGGCTCAATATACCCATTAAAGAGAGGTAACATAGGGGATTAGGACACAAAGTATCATAGGACTCGTTAAGAGAGTGAGGGCTCTTGAACTCTCTTGTGTGTTCTAGGGTTTCTTAGTGCTGCCATTATCTGTCCACCCTTTTCCTCTCTTATTGACCTTATTAGGACGTGGTGTCCTAACAACGTCTCAATTATGTCCTTTAGTTGTTGATCTACTGCAGAAAGGAGTGAGGGTTGTATATCATATTAGATGATAGTGGGAGGGTCTCAACCATAAATCACATTAAAAGGGGCTGTTTTGAAGGAAGAATGGAAAGTAACATTATAGTAATATTCATTCCAATGCAACCATTCACTCTAAGATTTTACTTATCTGATGCAAGAAATCCTAAGTAAGCTCCCAGGTACCTTTTATGACCTTCGATTGCCCATTGGTTTGTGGATAGTATGACGTACTCATCTTCAATTCGACTCCCTTTTGAACAATTATTTCCAAAAATTACTAGTAAAAAGTTTATCACAATCTGAGACAATTGATCTAAGAATCTCATAAAGTCTGACCACTTTTTTGAAAAAAATCATTGCAATCTCATGAGTTGGAAATAGATGCTTTTGTGAAATAAAATGACCATATTTACTTAACTTGTCCATGGCAACCAATATTGAATTGAACCCCTTTGATCATTGTAATTCTTTCAAGAAATCCATAGCTAGGTTCTCCTAAATGCATTGAAGCACCTGTAATGGTTGAAAGAGACTGATTAGGGCCAGTGAAGATGTCTTACATATTTGACACATTTCACGCTTATCAGTGTATCTCTTAATGGTCTTTTTTATGCCTAATTAATACATATTTTTTGAGGTTCTTTGATAAGTTTGGAGAAAATCAGTGTTTCCACTGCCCAAGCTATCATGAAACTCTTGTAAAAGAATTATAGTAAAAGTATATTGGAGCGAAATTTCGTGTCATTATTTATGCAACAATATTCTTACTATAGTGAGAAAATTTGATGTGATTGAGGGTCTTTAGATAGATCTGTAACAATTGTGGATAACCTTAGATCTTGTGATATTTCCTTTTTGATATTAATGAGATCAATTAGTTGAAAACGTGGCATAGACATTTCTTGCAATTTTTTTCATAGTTAGGAAGCAAGACAAAACATTTGCCACCTTATTATACTTCTCTTCCTTAAATCTGATTTCAAAATCTAAGTTTATCAGTTTGGTCAATCACCTATTATAATGTTAATGATCATACACAAACTTCTATTCAAGTAGGAACTTCAAAGACTTCTTGTTAATACAAATTATAAATATCTGGTGTAATAGATAATGTCACCACTTTTGTACATATTTTATTATGGCAAATAATTCTTGCTCATAGGCTGATTTAATTTGCAGCCTTCTTGATAAAATTTGACTGATGTAAACTATAGGTCAACCCTCTTACATTTATACAACTTTAATTACATAATGTGGAGCATCTATTTCTATGAAAGATTCTTTAGTGAAATCGAATAATGATAATACCAAGGTGATAAACATTGCCTCCTAGAGTTGAACAAAATCATTTTGAGCATCTTGATTCTAATAAAATGATTTTTTATTTAACAATTTAATCATAAAGGCTACAATTGAAAAATATCTTGCCAGAAAATGATTGGAATAACCAATGAGTCCAAAGAATGATCATAATTCTCAATCATTCATTGGAATTGACCAACTTAACTTTGCTAAAAAAAATTCCTAATCCACCATCACACCTTTGGCTGAAGTCCAATGCCAAGGTATTCTAACTTATTTTGGCCAATTTGACATTTCTTTTGTATTCACATATAGATAGTTGTTAAGCAATACTTATAATACTTGTGAGGTCTTTTTCATGTTGATCTTGATATTAACTATAAACTAAAATGTCGTCAGAAAATATCATAACAAATCGACAGAGATAAAGTCAAAAAATCTAGTTCATTAATAATTGAAAAGTAGTTGGAGCATTCATTAAACCAAATGACATTACCACGAATTTGTAATCGAGTTCCTGGGTTTCAAGTGTTGTTTTCGAAATGTGATTAGATTATACTTATGTCATCAAGTTCTTCTATGATCTTCTCGATTTTGTTAATTTGATAATGTGACTATCTACAACACCTTAAATTGACCTGTTTAACTCTGGGGTAGATGTGGATTGAATGATCTATCTCTCTTATAAGAAGTACTCTAGTTAAAGGAGAAAATACTTGTGGAAATCATCTCTGGAGAACACCTTCTAATTTTTCATTGAACCCATTGTTATTTGATGCAGTTTCAAGAAAAAATCTATTGATGAACATGATCGCAAAGCTTTCCACCTATTTGCTCAGATATTAGCTGGGGACATCGAATTTATGATAAGAGGGGGCGTAACTTGTCATTATAGTTTCCCAAATGGGAGAAAAATCGGAAACTACTTGACGATTCTTGCTTTATATTGTAGAGAAAACGAGATGAAATCAGGGGGGGGGGGGGGGGGGGGAGGGAGGGAAGATTGCACGGAGGATACGTCTTCATCTCGAGAATAACTTGGAGAAGAAGTTGGTGGGTTTGGATTTGGAATTCTCCAGACATGTCGTGTGTGCGTATCTCCCAAGGTTATCCACCTGCCTCGGCTCCCCTCTCGTGTCCTTCTTGCAGATCTTGCAGGTCTTGTCCACCCATCCTTCTTCCACGTATTCACCTTCGACTGCCAGTTATTTGCAGACATTTGACCTCAGAAATGATAGAACAAAAAAAATAGGAACAACCATATGAACTGAGATCGTCGCCTAGGGTTCCAACCTTCGACATACGACTTGAAGAAATCCTTGTAGGTGCCCCCTATCTTCCTCCTGAGCGCTCCATACTGCAAGAATTTACGGCCGGTAATGTTTTCCGCAACGGCCGATGAATCCGAGACCCGCCTAGAAGAGGAAGAGGAAGAGATTTTCCGTTCCGTACCTGTTCCCTGGACATCTTGCCGCCAGATCTCGTGGCTTCTCGCGCCTCGTCGAGGAGCATGGCGTCCTCTGAGGATCTAACCTGGGAGAAATCGAGAGCCTCCGTCACGTTATTGAACAGGGACTGCACGCCGCCGCTCGTCTTCTTCTTCTTCTTCTCCTCCGGCTCTGCTTCTCCCGCCTCAGTTTTCGCCCTGATCCCTCTGACGCCGGCGCCGGCGATCTTGCCGGAACATCTCGAAGCTGGGACACTAGCGGGGAGCCTCACCGAGGGGCAGCAGGCCCTGGAAGACGAGAGAGGAAGAGCTCTGGAGTTGGCAGCCATGGCTGGTTGTCGTCCTTCTCCACTCGGGTGGTTCCTGCTGCTGTTGCCCCTCTGCCGGAGTTCCCGCGTCTTTTAACGGTGACGAGTGTGGTCGGATCGGCTGGAGCAGTGTTGGCCTGCCACGTGGCAGACATATGTGTGGACACCCGAGGCGTGACGTGGCATCTGGCGCAGCACCCGAGAGATGACTGGCTCTACGCCGCTGCCAATAGGAGTGGCGGAGATATTTCGCTCAAATATAGAGGAAGAGAGAGAGACACTGACACTTTTAACGGGCCGGGATCTATCAGATGAAGGCCCGGCCCGGAAAATGTAGAACGGCGGGGGTCAGTTCAAAAATTTCCGGCATTCCTCAAAGCAAGAGCAAGCTTGATAAAAACCATCATCTCTCTACTGCCTCTCTCCCTCTCTCTCTCTCTCTCTCTCTCTCTAAAAGGGTATGCGAACCAGATGATGGTTTTTATCTGACGAAGGCCCGGCCCGGAAAATGTGGAACAGTGAGGGCCCGTTAAAAAGCTTCCAGCATTTCTCAAAGCAACAGCTAGCTTGATAAAAAAAACCAGCGTCTGTTCCATCCATCATCTCTCCACCGTACTCTCTCTCTCTCTCTCTCTCTCTCTACTGTAACTCTCCTCTAGAAGTGTATGTGAGCCTAGACGATGTACACCATGCCGACCTCGAGGAGGGACGCCGGCGGCACGCGGAGAGCGACGTCGGGGCCACGGCAGTTCCTCCTGAGGAAGTTGTAGGCGACGTCGATGGCGGCCTTCCTCAGCAGGGACGACCCGGGCTTCGCCTTCACATGGGAGTGCCCGAGGATGAACGCCGTCCCCGCCTCCCGCGCCGCCACCAGCTCCTCCAGCTCCTCCCTCGCGCCGGCGCCGTCCATCTCCTCCCCGCTGTCCTCCCCCTCCAGCAAGAACCTCACCCTCTTCGCTCCTCCTCCGCCCTCGCTGGAGAAGCCCACCGAGACGCTCGCGGCGTGGATGCTCTCGTCGATCCGCAGGCCGCTCCCCACCACCGCGAGAGCCCCCTCGGCAGCGCCGCCGTCGTCTCTGCCGCTGCTGCTGGCGCTGCTGCGGCGCGCGTAGATGCGGATGAAGGCGGCGAGGCTGGCGACGAGCTGGGACTCGAAGGAGTCCACGTCCTGGTGCACGTCGCGGTAGCCGTAGCGGACGATGCAGCGGTAGGAGCGATGAGCGGCGGGGCCGACGCGGCCCACGAGGAAGCGCTCGCCGGCGGGGACGTGCGGCACCGGCACGGCTTTGACGCAGACGAAGACGAGCACCCGGTGGAAGGCCGGCAGATTGGTGACGAAGCGCGAGAAGTTGGCGGGCACGCCGGAGATGAGGTCGGTGTATACGAGGCCGATGCCGGGCACGCGGGCGATGCCGAGAGAGGGCCCCAGAGCGAGCAGCCACTCGAGGGAGACCTTGTTGTGCAGGTCGAAATCGTACTTCTTGATGGTGGCGTAGTGCCACACAAACATGACGGTCATGAGGAAGAGGGCGAGCAGGATGGGCAGCCACGCGCCTTCCCGGAACTTGATCAGCGACGCCGAGAAGAAGAGCGCCTCGATGGAGCCGAAGAACAGGAGGAAGGCCAGCGCCAGCAATGGCGGCTTGTGCCAGCAGAGGATCATCACCAGCGACGTCAGGCACGTCGTCACCAGCATCACCGTGATCACCGCCAGCCCTGTTCCACCATAACTCGGAACTTCAGTGGAGAGGAGATTTAGTGAATGGAGAGGAGATTCAGGAGGGGTGACCCGACCCGAGGCGTTGCCTAGGTGCTTGGTGTCCCTGAAGCCGACGGCGACGGCGATGCAGAGGAGCATCAGCATCCAGTTGATCTCCGGGATGTAAATCTGGCCATGGATCTTGTCGGAGGTGTGGACGACCTTCACCCGGGGGAAGCAGCTGAGCGACTGGCTCTGATTTATGATGGAGAAAGTCCCGCTGATGATCGCCTGGCTGCCCACCACCGAGGCGAGAATGGCGATGGCCAGCACCGGCCACCTCACGCTCTCTGCTCACAGACCCATCCCACCCGTTTCGTCATTCCAAGCATCACTACCACGCATCAAGAAACAAAAAAAATGGAGATAATCGGAGCGGACCCAGCACCTGGAACGGAGACATAGAACCCAATCTGGTAGCTGGAGTAGATCCGATGATGCTTCGACAAGTAAGCGGCTTGCCCCATGTAGGCCAAGATCAGTGCCGGGTAAACCAGAGAAGTGAAAGCAATCTGCAGCCCATCAATCAAGTTAGCATGAATTCCAACGAAAAGCTTACATTTTCTAGCAGAATTCACCTGAATCGCCGTGTATGAGAAGTGCCCGAGATCCGCAAACATCGCCTCTGAACCTGCAACACGCCCATTTTCGTATCAGCTGGATGCCATTAATTTTCTTCCTCCTCCAAGAACTTGGGAAGGGGGGACGTCAATTGGGAGGCTTCGGTCGATTACCCGTCATGCAGAGGAGGATCCCCCCCAGCGACATCCAGCCACTCTTCTTCGTCTTCTTCAAGAACTTGTACATGTAGTAGGGGGAGAGCGCCTGGTAGACCTGCGGGTTCCAGTGGGCGATGTTGTAGATGCCCAGCGCGCTGATGCACAGGAGCCACGCCACCACGATCGGCGCGAATATGAAGCCCACCCGGTGCGTCCCATAATGTTGGAGCGCGAACAGGCAAACCAGGACGACGCAGGTGATGGGAACCACAGCATCTGCCATCAATAAATCAATCCCCTCAGCAACCATATCGGGCAATCATCAGATGAGTAATCCTTGGAGATGCAGGGGGATGCAATCAGAGATCTTCAGGAGCTCACATTCATGGTGACCTTTCGACATGGAAAGCTCCAATCCTGAGACCGCGGAGAAAACTGCAAAGAACAGAGCCAGCGAGAGAGAAGAAGAAGAAGAAGGAGAAAGAGGAAATTGAGGTCGCCAATAACTGTTTTTTATAAGAACGAGGTGAAGAGGGTAAGAATTAGGGAGACCTGAGATGGCCGGAGTAAGGACGCCGTCGCCGATCACCATGCAGGTTCCGAGCATGACGACGATCAGAAGGACGGTGTGCAGGTTCTTGTGCTTCTCCAGGAAAGCCTTGACTTTGGGCTTGCGCCTGGTCTCGGGAGGGCTCTCCAGTTTATACGTGGAGACCTCCTCGTCGGCGAGCTGCCGGTTGGGCAGCAAGCTCACATTCGCGTGGCGGCAGATCAGAGAATACAGGACGAAGGTGCCCCCTGCGAAACCCGCAAAGGTCAGCCCACCATGGGGGGAAGAAAGGGTTAGGGTTGGCGTTGACTTCGGTTTGGACTCACCCTCTCCATTGTCGTCCGCTCTGAGGACGATGAACACGTACTTGCAGAGGGGAATGAGGGTCAGAGTCCAGAAGACGAAGGAGAGGACCCCGAAGATCTCTTCGTTCGTCTCCGAATGTGTGATATCCTCGGCGAAGGTGCTCTTGTAGACATAGAGAGGGGAGATGCTGAGGTCCCCATATACCACGCCCAAGCTCTGGTATGCCAGCAGCAGGATGGTCTTCCAGGACTCCTGGATCCACCAGGGTTATCAGGATCCTGTGCGAAATCTCACAGGAAGGAAGAATTTCTGCTACTTTTTACCAAATTTGGGAAGCGAGCAAGAACGGGGCATTAGGGATAGAAGAACGGACCTTCGGGGAGGCCGCAGCTCTTCCGGTCTCGGGGTCCATCTTCCAGGGCAAGGTCAGCCAAACTGGTATCGTCTTCTAGATCCCCGCTGCGTCCATGGGAGACTCCGGGTGAAAACAGGTGAGAGTATTCAGGGAAGAAGAAGCTCAGTATTTCTCTCTCTAAGCGTCTTCTTCCTCCCTCAATGGCTGCCTGTCGGGTCCACTGTACAACCGGTTAGTTCTTGCAGGGGGCAGAGTGGGCATGGCCGGAGCAGGGAACAAACCCGACCCACGTGAACTTACGAGCTCTCTTGCCCTCACATGGATGCCATCGGCGCCATGCGCGGAAAGATGAACGGAGACAGAGAGCAAGAAAGAGAATAACAGCAGAGAGAGAGAGAGAGAGAGAGAGAGAGAGAGAGGAGGTGAAAAGAGTATGGGTGTGGGGTAGAGAAAGGAACAAGACATGCGTGGACGAGGGGGGGCTGATACCAGATGGTCGGGGGATCGTCGTCTTCTTCCTTCCACCCACCACGCTCATCTAGACGCGTGTATCTTTGGCCGTCCTGGGCGCCTTGGTGATCGATCCACATTACCCAACGGATGGGACATTTCCAGACGACACAGGAAACAGAAAGAGGAGAGAGAGAGAGAGAGAAAAGAAGAGCGTAGGGTTAGGCTCGAGAAAGAAACCCCACCTCCTTGTACCTTTTTCTCTCGCCCCCTGTGGCTACCCCGAGGCCATGACCTTTCCCCGATGAATCTCTGGCTCAGGATAAGCAGAGAAAACATACCTCTCCGGTGGCCGCCTCAATGAGTAGATCTCTCTCTCTCTCTCTCTCTCTCTCTCTCTCTCCCTCTGTGCGAGGAGCTTCTCGGACCTCAGATGGATGCCCAGGTTGCCGTCGCCACCACCGACTAAAGCTTCCGCAACGTTCCCGTCACATCGGCTTGCCGCCATTAATGCACTTCGTTTTCCGGGAAAAAGTAGCAGAGAGAACTGGGCTCATCATCTTCTTCATCGGGCTGCTCTCGTCCCACTCCCACCTGGTTTATCTCTCTCTAAAGAAGTTCTACCCGGCAGATCTGCAGACCCCTTTACTCACTCGTTCATCTTCATCGTCCCGGCGGATTCTGCCTTGTCTGGAGTGCCTTTATTCCTCTGAGCGGTCGCATTCTAGAGAGAGAAACGGAAGAACAAGGAGAGAGAAACCGGCGGCGGACTGGGATGGACATTTTTTTACTCTGGGTAAGCAAGGGGATGGGGGAAGAGCCGTGGGTCCGAGGTAATCCATCTCCATTGGCATCGTCGTGCCCGTCGGAGAGAGAGAGAGAGCTGATTGGTCCAGTAAGGGGAGTCAAGTCATAGAAAGCGAGAGTAGCAGCACACTGGGCCCGTTAGAGATGGACGGAGATAATCGACGGCTGAGAAACTCATGAAAACCGGCATGGGGAGGATCTACGGCGGAGGAGGCGTCAACGTGGGGTCCACGTCCAGAGGACAGAAATATGGCGACCGGACGAAAACCTGCATTAAATGCGAGGGCCACACACGTGATGCCAGAGAGGGTATTATAGTCATTTCATAATATGGAGAGGTTCTCTGCTCTGCGGCAGCAGAGATGACGACTGCCGCTCGTGAATCCGGAGAGATCTTCCCGACTGTGGCGGCGGCCTGGAACAGAGATTTTGAGCACGGGGTTTCTGTGTTTCTGTGGAAGCTGATGCACTGAAGAGTTTCGAAGATGTCGTGCTTCCGTAGCCCTCTTTCGCCTTCCAGACCAAGGAGGATCAAGCTCCGCTGCACCGTCGGAGGTAGACTTGCATTTCTATGAATATTTCCTTCTATTTTCGATATTTTTCGCGGACGGAAGTGTTTTCTTGCTATGGTAGAAGTGCGATAGCCGGATTAACTGTCATAACACATCTACGAAGAGAAATTATTGCGCATTTTCGGGAATAAAATTAGGCCGTGATGCGTAAATGTGCTAGAATTAAGAACGCGATATAAGGATCAAGTCAAACTCCGTGAAAGAGCGTTGACAGAATGTGGAGACTACGACTTTGTGTGTGACATTCGGGGCTGGGGTTGTGATCTCGGCATTCTGATTGTGAGTTCCATAGGAATTCGACACGAATTAGTCAGTAATTTGTGATTATATACTCGCCAGAGCTTGATGCCCTACCAATGGGTGAACAAAAGAACAAATGCGTCAGGTAGAACTATGGTTCAGAGAATCATTCTGGTGTCATCCATTCATACGGCATTTGAACCTTGCCGAGTCTCTATGATATGTCACGTACCGTATGTTAATGCTCAAAGGATTTAAGTTTCTATTTATTCAAGTTTCCTGGAAAGAGAAAACTCTGAGACGAAAATCCTTCCATGGAAACTTGATCGCCTAGTTCGACCCTTTGCTCCTTTATTGTGATTTTTCTTTGCCTCTGAGATTTTCATTGATTATGAACCTTAGCCTTTTGGAGATTTGTGCAGAATTCACTATGGAGCCGAAGGTTACTCCTCCTAGCGCTGTGGAGCCTCTCCTGCTGAATGCAATTCGAGGGGAAAAGGTTGAGAGACGCCCGGCTTGGTTGATGAGGCAAGCAGGTAGGTACATGAAGGCAGGTCTAGTAGCAATCATTTTTGCTCTTTCCAGAATATTCATGACTATAATGCTTCTCTTGGTTATTCAAAAGCCTGTAATGCACCAGAAAAGTGACTTTAAAATAATTTCTTTTCTTGTCAGTCTGATGATATTGTCCTAAAATAATAGGATACTACTTTGCATTGACCTTTTCCCATTACCTTTGCGTTGGGAAAAAACAGATTATATGGGTGTTTTCTTGGAACAGCTCATCCATTTTTCGTAGAATTTTATGCGAAAATTCAAAAAAAGGTCTTGTATTCTATATTCTAGTTTTTATAGATACTACCTCTAGTGCTTTCAACAATCTTGAACCATTATCATTGTCAGCTCACCAGAAGTCCATTAAAAAGCTCCGTGGAGAACTGAAAATTAAGCAGTGGTTTTAATTTCATGGTGGTTCCTTACAGAAAGTCAACGTAACAGTAGCCAATAGTGAAATCTATTTACATAGCTGTTCATATAATTTTCCTGAATTCATCGGGTTTTTTATTTCTGGTCCATTCTGAGATAGAACGGGCAGAATCCATTTACTGTGTTTTGGATTTCGCCTTCCTTGTTCCACTATGAATCAGCCAGTATTTAAAATCTTCACCAAAACTGTGCATGCATGACTTCTTGCCTGGTCCCCACTTTCAAGTGCCCATGGACCACGCAAGAGAAACATGTTCTGGCTCAGGTACAAAAAGTAATTTTAATCATGTTAGAAGCATCAATACCAGGACTGCGCTACACATGCTCTTATGGAAATTGCTTTTGCTCACTTACATTTCTCAATTCATATGGTTGTTGAAATGGATTGTTTAGTCTTTCTGAAATTATATTTTCAGAGTTTTAATTTTCCCATGCATCCATTTTATTACACTCGTCTATGGAAGAAAATTATTAAAAATCTAAAAAATAAATATACGTCTTGAGGTTGGCGTTTAGGATATTGTACATAAAGGTAGGATAAATATATATATATATATATATATTTTGGATTTAAAGCATCTTGTTTGTATATACGCCCACAAGTGGTCTGGTTACAGGATCTAAAGAGTTTTTCCCAAGTTCTTGGAGTAACTTATTTTCTTGCTTTAATGTATGTTTCAAGTGAATATTCTATTTCAATGCCTTCTTCCTATTTTATGGTATTCTGCTATCATTTCTAACACTATGATTCTGGCGGACATTACACTCCTGTCTTTTTCTCCCATACAAGTAGATTAGTCCACGGTGTTCAATTTGAGTTTTAGTTATGTTTCATACAGATGTGTGGATTATATGTGCATATATCTAATACATGCTCATATTTTATCATCATTTTACGTAGTCTAAGCATGGTGGCGGCACTCATTGTCGCAGTCTAAGCATGCTGATGTTCTTCCTGAAGTCAAAATGGTTTGTGTGGCCCGCTCTGCTCCCCTACTGTCCAGGCGCTGCATGCATTGTTAAGAAAATTCGCAGTCTCCATGGCGAGGTACGTCCGATACCAGGCAGACCATGGGGCTCAAGCCGTGCAGATCTTTGACTCTGTGCGCCTCTGATCCTTTACGCAAGTGGCTCGGGAGGGCTGCTCGAGAAGTTTCTCTCGACCCGAGTCAACATGATTAGCTTGGACTGATGTAGCATCACCTCCACTGTGGCCCTGTGGTGGAAGGCGGTGGGAGGCGGAAGCTGGGCCCTGATGTGGCAGTTCAGGGCAACGTTGGCCCTGGGGTCCTCTTCGAGTCCAAAGAGTTCATCACCTCGCGGATCAACGACACGATGAAGAAGGCGGGCGCTCACAAGCGCATTCTGAATCTTGGGCATGGGATTATGATCGGCACGCCCGAGGAGAGCGTTGACCATTTCTTTGAAGTCGCCAAAGGGATCAGATACTGAAACCTCCACTGTATATTGTTCGGCCTTGTTCATATCGATTTCCTGCTCTATGGTCTTCAAAGGTATGATTTTTGTATCATAATTTTTTTTCTTGATCTGATACATCGAGTCATGATTCTGATGAAAGTCAACGACGATATGGCCAAATCAGTGGAGATTTAGACCGATTTTTATTCAACTGTTCATTGCATTGCTCATCCTTGTTCTAGAGATTATGATCTTACGATCATAGATCCTGTGTATGATGTGAAACTTTTTGGGATCTAATACCCAAAGTTCTGAATGTGATGAAAGTCAACGAATATGTGACGGAATGGCCCGGACTTTCAATCAAGCTATGCTTTTTATTTCAGAATAGGCCCCTGTCTAGTTGCTTTCGGACCGCAGTCACGCACAGGGCTTTGACCTGTCAGAAAACGTGGCCCGATGCTTCCGCGTCGAAAGCCAACTTGATCATATCATCTCAGTTATTACTATTATAATTATAATTATTATTTATTAATGTTGTTGTCCTGTCTTACTGATTATTAATCGAATTTTAATTTATTCCCTATAATCGTTTTGGGATATGCTTCTCCTACTATGTTAACGGGCCGGCCGGGTTTTTGATTGGCCCGGCCCAGCCATGGTCCCTTGTGCACTCTCTCTCTCTCTGGCTGTGAACTTAAGGGGGCTGAAGTGGGCCAGGGCTGAGAATAGGCAGGCCCTAGCCAAAGGGGCTCAATTCGGGCCCGTCTTGTGAGGGCATTATGGTAATAGATGGAAGGGGAGCTGCCTAGCTGTTTCCAGAATTGGTCGGATTTGTAGAAAATTCTGGTTGTTGGGCAAGGGGCGGCGGCGATTTCAAGTAGAAGAGCGGATTCAGGGGGGAAGAAGAAAAAGAAGCAAAAGGGGAGCAGAGTTGGGGGATTAGGGTTTGTCTCACCTTTTTGTCTCCGGTTTCTCCTTCTCTTCCTCTTCCTTTTCGTGTCCGGTGTCTATCTCGGCGCCTTCGAAGGTTCGGGATCTTGATCGTTCGAGGATCCTGGTGGAGGGGTTATTTTCTCTCTCGCCTCCCCGGTTGAGGTACGTTGTTGCGGGACTTGGTCCTAGCGTTTCTTCATGGCTGATTTTTCTGACGGAGTTCTTTGCGTGATCTGACGATCTGAGTTTTTTTTTACGTTGGGCTTTGATGTTGCTGCTTGGGATTTCTGATGGCGGCCGTTGTTTTTGCTCAGAATTTTCCTTCTGTGCTGCTCAATTGCTCGTGGCATTTCGAACTTATTTCAGTTTTCTTCTTTTGTATTCGTACTTCTCTTCCTATTTTTTTGAAGAACTACAACTTCCTATGGCATGTAGAAAATGTTCCATGCACCAATTGAATCGAATTGTACGACTTTTGTGTTACGATCTTGCATCCGCTGGCATTCTTGCTTTTCTTCGTTGATGCGAATATATATATATATACTCTAGACAGATCTGTTATGATTTTTCTGCGAAGGGTGCCTAATTCATGAAAATTGTTGCTATATTCTTATTCCCCTCGAGTTTTCCCTTCCGCTTAGTGAATTTTTTTTTGCTAATGGCCTCTGGCACGGATAAAATCTCTTCTCCTTCAATTCCCAAACCTGCTGAAAATAAAATAAAATGATCTTTTGTTTTCTACGGCTACTCAGGAATTCCTGGTAGATTGAGGTAGATTTGAATGGACTTTTCTTTGCTCTTCATCGTTTCTATGTTCATTATCATTTCTAGCTTGAATTCTCTGTTACCATCTCCACCATTTTCTGTGAGTTGCATTTTTAGGGCTTCTACCAGCATCTGTGTTGCATAACCGGCTCCTTTCTTCCTTGCTCATCAACCCCATAATTAGTTGGCGCAAGAATTTGCGAGCTCTTTGCTGGCTGCCAGTGTTTCTGCTTTTTCTCCTAATTATTTACTATCAGTGTTTAAAATATGTGGGATCACATCCGAGTCCTCCTGGAGTGAAGCTTGGATCACTCCGTGGCAGCTTTCAATCTGATATTGCATCTTATTATGCCTCTTTTACTGGCTGCAGTCTTGAATTAACCTATTATACTGTTCTTTGTTCTGTCAGCTTCTTCCTTCTTGCCACTCGGAACTAAAAGCAACAGGGAATGCTGAAAGATGTGTTTGCACTCTCGGAAATCCTCCTCTGAGGCGAATCCATCAATATCCTCTCCTAAGCTGCCACTCCACATCCTCCATGAGCTTGGATTTAAAGGTCTCCGCCACCCTCTTCTCCAGGCGCAGCGGGTCCATGACGGATTGCTGAGCTCGACAAGAAGAAGCCTCCCATCAAATCACGACCTCACCGACGACGGTTGAGAGCTTCTGATCTTCAGACCATCAGCAGGAAGGGGAGTATATACATATATATAAAACAACAGAGGATGGAAAACAAGGAGGGTGTATTGCTGCAGAGGTACGAGCTGGGGAGATTACTGGGGCAGGGGAACTTTGCAAAGGTGTACTATGCGCGCAACATCAAGACAGCCCAGAGTGTGGCGATAAAGGTGATCGACAAGGAGAAGGTGATGAGAGTTGGGCTGATGGATCAGATCAAGCGGGAGATCTCAGTGATGAAGCTGGTGAGCCACCCGAACATCGTGCAGCTCCACGAGGTCATGGCCACCAAGTCAAAGATATTCGTCGTCATGGAATACGTAAAGGGTGGGGAGCTCTTCAACCTGGTGGCCAAGGGCCGGCTCAAGGAGGAGCAGGCGAGGCGGTATTTTCAGCAACTGGTCGGCGCCATTGACTTCTGCCACAGCCGGGGAGTCTACCACCGGGACCTCAAGCCAGAGAACCTGCTCCTCGATGAGAACGGCGACCTGAAGGTCTCTGATTTTGGCCTGAGCGCCCTCGCAGAGTCAAAGAGACAGGACGGCCTGCTCCACACCACCTGTGGCACGCCGGCATATGTGGCCCCTGAGGTGCTGAACAGGAAGGGGTACGACGGCGCCAAGGCTGACATCTGGTCCTGCGGGGTGATCCTCTTTGTCATGCTTGCCGGGTACCTCCCCTTCCACGAAGGCAATCTGATGGAGATGTACAGGAAGATTGCCAAGGCGGCATTCAGGTGCCCCGCTTGGTTCTCCTCCGAGGCCCGCAAGCTGCTGGCGAAGATCCTCGACCCCAACCCCGTCACCAGGATTTCGACAGAGGGCATCATGGAGAGCTCCTGGTTCAGGAAGGGGCGGAGATCACCCCCCAGGACCAGAGATCTTCATGCAGATATGGGTGCCAGCGGCTCGGTGATCGGCGGTGGCGGTGGCGGTGATGTTGCCGAAGGGAAGGAAGAACCCATGAAGCCATCACAGATGAACGCCTTCGACATCATTTCCATGTCCACTGGGTTCGACCTTTCTGGCCTATTCGAGGAGCCCGATCGCCGAAAGGAGTCCCGTTTCACGTCCATGCAGCCGGCGCCGGTCATCATCAAGAGGTTGGAGGAGGTGGCGAGGAAGCTGGGATTGAAGCCGAAGAAGAAGCAAGGGGGGGTGATGAAGCTGGAGAGGAACAAGGAGGGCAGGAAGGGCGTGCTGGCCGTCGATGCCGAGATCTTCGAGGTGACCCCGTCCTTCCACCTGGTGGAGTTCAAGAAGTCCGCCGGCGACACCCTGGAGTTCCAGAGGATGTGGAAGCAGGACATGAGGCCCGCTCTCAAGGACATCGTCTGGGCCTGGCAAGGGGAGGAGGAGGTGGCGGCGCCGCCGCTGCAGCAGGAGTAGCCGCACAAGGCCCGCAAATCAATGGACCTCGGCGAGAACTTCCGAGTATGTGTTCTACCTCGTGCATGACAATATGACGTTTCCGGTCACATATGTAGCTGTGTCCGTGATGTTTCCATACTTGTATTGTTTTTTCTCCGTGTTCTTGTGTTTATTATTTTCTTTGGCGAAACGGGTATGATTATTCATCAGCTTTAAGCTGGGGAGGTTGATGCTCGGGGTTAGTCTGCAGTTTGACCTTTTTCTTTTCTTTGTTTCTGAAGAACCCGGTGAAGTCAAACCGCTGGTGTCAGGTGGGATATCTGGGCAGTCCCTTCGCTCAATTCAGCAGTTTTGAGCTCATGGGTCACAGAGGGGGAGAGAGAGAGAGAGAGAAGTCCGCGCACGTGGGAAGGTTTCGGGCTTGGAAGAGGACTCCGGCCCGGGCTCGACTTGCCTGACCCACCGATCTAAAACAGCTAGAGAGACGTAGAGAAGCATGGCTAAGCAGGGCTTGCCCGGCCCATTCACATCCTCTATTCATACCAGAGATTTTTTTACCATTTCTAGTTCAGTCGAGAGGGCATCCTAGCATCAGCTTCCATTTCTCAATATGGACAAGGAGAAACTGGCAGAGATGTTTCTGTACATTCTAGGGTTAGTATGTACATCAAAGAGGGGACTGAGATCAGCAGAAGGCCTGGTTTTATTCCAATTCGGTCTCCGAGACGACCTCCTCTGGGAGTTGGAACGCATCCACCTCCGCAAAGTAGGCCCTCTGTTCGTCGATGAACTGCTGTGGAAGAAGTGCCTGCGGCTGATTCCTACTGTCCGATGACAGCATGTAACGCCATTTCTGCAGATGAGGGCAGCAAGATAATGGTTTATTACAATGGAATGAGAGAAAGCATTGAGTGAAGAGAAATTACCCTCTTGGATTTGGGATAAGGAACTGAGGATGCAGCAGCGAGGCAATCAGCATCTTCAGAAGCTTTCATCTGATTATCCCTGTTTCGAGACAAGAATGGGAAGAGATTGAATCATCTTTATTGGTCCTCTCATTTATTTTTTGATTCCATAAATATGCAGATAGAGGGCCAGAAATTGATATAAATATCTCGGGGTATCCAATGGCTACTGCAGAATTCCATTGAATGCAGTTTAAACTTGTTCTAAGTGGAGGAATTTCTTGGATTTTTTTATGTTATAAAAAAATAACTGAATTAATGAGCCCCTGTATAATATACATGCAGGGAAACTTTTCAACCATGAATTTGTGTTCCTCTCATACACCTTTCGCACCGATTGTAATGGGTACGGCCTAAAAAGCTTAGTAGGCTGTCAATGTGTGTGTGTACGCGAGCCATTTTGTAGATCAAACTCGTTAAGCTTCTTGAAAAGACACCACCCGCTGGCAATGTAAGAAATTTTGACCTCAAAATCAACGTATTGTTCTACAATTTTCTGCTTTCTGTGATTTAAATCTTTGTTCCAAAATCAACAGAAACAGCAGGTATTATTCCCGGGAAAAAAGAAAAACTGGATCACGGAAACATCTTAGTCCACCATGGAGTGGTTTATCTCACATATTATGAGAGATGGATACCTACAGACAGATCGGTGGATAGAGAGAGAGAGAAAGAGAGAGAGAGAGTTTCGCAGAATCCAGCACCTACGTTTGTAGAAAATTTTGTGGTGTCGTTTATGATATCTTCCATTTCTTATTCAAATGCATTTAAATAAATATCACCATCATTGTAAACCTTCCTTAGATTGACCAAAAAAAATATGGCAGAAAGAAATGCAAGAAAAAGCATGAAATAATACTTGAGTAATATCCAAGAAGCGCAAATTTCATTAAGAAAAATTCGAAATCAAAGCAACTTGGGGAGAAAAAAAGTTGATAAGATTAGAAACCCAATCACATATTCATCGTCTACCAGCCAATACCCAATCACATATTCAAATACATTGTTAATAAATATCACCATCATTATAGACCTTCCTTAGATTGGCCAAACAAAATATGGCAGAAAGAAATGCAAGAAAAAGCATGAAATAATACTTGAGTAATATCCAAGAAGCGCAAATTTCCTTAAGAAAAAATCGAAATCAAAGCAACTTGGAGAGAAAAAAAGATTGATTAGATCAGAAACCCAATCACATATTCATCGTCTAGCAGTCAAGAACATCAATATTTAGGTAGCTTGAAAACAAGAGAACATTCCTAAACAGCGCATTGTCACACATACCCAACACTTCTAATCCTTTTTGGTGGCGGGCAACTCGACTGAAGAGGATCCCAATCAGCCTTCCGCTTGCTTTTCTGCCTCCTTGAACTTTGACGGGTGTACAGAACCACTGGTTCAAGAACACTCCGGTCGGCAACACCTTTAAGTGTGAAAGGAGGAAAAATTAGATAAAAGGAATTTGCAATCACCTAAGAAACCAAGAACAAGGTTGAAAATATTGTCTATCCTGAGTAATTGATGAAGATAGCACATGATAAAAACTTCAAACTCGGAATTTCTACAATGCTATCAAATCAATGCAGTCCTCTGCTTCTCAAGTCAAAAAAACAGCCGCACAAAACATATACCAGGCTGTAAGAGTGAATGGTGAAGATATCAGTTTTACTCTAATAATTAACTTAGTCCAACTTTTTTCATCAACAGCGCACCAAATGCACAACTATAAATAACTTTTTGTCTCATATTCTTTCTCGTAGCCTTCCAATATTACTTTGAGTGATTATCTTGAAATCATTTTTCACCTAAAATATGAAGGATCCAACAAGTCTGAGGACTTCAGTCAGGGTAACACGAAAACGGAAAATAACTAAAAGGATTCATACACGACTCCATTGCTACTTGCTTGTGTGAAAACACCATTCCCATAGAGTAGCAAATCTATGCATTCGTTAAAGATATTTTCTCACGGCGCGCATTTCATCGTCGAATCTGTATGTCTGTGTGCACCCAGTGGAGCATCTATCATATCAAACATATGGAATCCTAAAGTCGTAGATCCGGCAGTATCCCTAGGAGCTGTGGTCGTACCTCACGAATACTCAAAGGCAGCATAGCCAAATCATGTAGTGATTCAGAAGTAAGCTGCATTCAGAATGGGCGAAAACCTTAAAGATAATGTTCGATTATTGCGAAGCTAGTCCGAGGCATCGAGCAGGAGTCAAGATTGAAGAGACAATTCAATTCGTTCCTTCTTCAGCAAACCCTAGATTCAATATCGCAACCGATCGACAGGGCCAAAGATAACGCAATCAAATTCAAAATGCAGAAACTATTTCAAAAAGTTTAGTATCCCCCATACCCCGCCTAGGTTTCCAGTAGCACGGATTACCGGAACAAATTGATTCCTCCAATCATCTACAGAACCGATCGGGCCTCCCAAAAGACAAACCCCCGAGTAGAAGTCAGGAAGAAACAAAATAAACAGAACCCACGCGTCATCCACTCTGGAACCCGAAGAAAACCCCAGGGGTTACCTGAATTCACCGGCGGGTCCGCCACTGTAGATCCGGAAGAAGAGGGGCCAGCCTTCCGACTCGAAGAGTTCTCGGAGTTGCAAGATCCTATACTGCTAGTCTCGCCTCCGATAGGGATCTCGTCGTGGACCGCAATGGCTCTGGATTTCGGCTTCGCCCCAGAATTCTCCTTGAGCTTCACGGAAGCGGTGACGGCGTTACTGACGTCGGTCAGGGGCCTCCTCTTTGGTAACCTTCGGCTGATTTCAGACCCTCGGAACTCCATCGCTGTCGGAGGACGAGGAGCAGCGGCTGAAAGCTTCTGAGACACGGTGGCTCGCAGGCGGGAAAAGGCTTTCCCGGTGAATGACAATATGCCTATATAACCCTAACATTTCCACAGTTTTACCTTATACCTCAAAGCTTGTTTATTTAATAAAGTACTTAGGATTATACTTTATTAATATTTCCGGAGTTTGGTCCTACCTGGACGCTTACTATAAGGCCCGAAACTGACCAAAAAATGGGCTCCGGGCCTTCAAGCCCGCTCTCAGGTTGAGTGGGCCCAGACTAGTGAGACTAGAATTCCTTGATGTCTAGCGGCGGGGGGGCTGGTCACCAGTTGAAGAAACACAGAAGCAACGGCGAGAAGAGGATCTCGCCAAATGGGGAAAGGGAGAACAAGAAAAGAGAAAGGGAGAAGGAATGAGAGAAGAGAGAGAGAGAGAGAGAGGAGAGAGAATGGAAGGAGAATGCGGCAATGAATGGAGTAGACTCGGGCCAATCCGTTCTATCTGGATGTTTTATCAACGGAGATTTTATTCATTAAATGACCTCTTCATAATATACATACTGTGTGCGTGTGTGTGTGTGATAGAGAGAGAGAGAGAGAGAGAGAGAGAGTAGAGGGTGCGTGTATGTATTTATGCACAAGAGAAAGTGTATTTAGATGCAAGTGTATTTAGAATTGTATGAACGAAATTCCGCCTTCGAATTATATGTAGAGAGAGAGAGAGAGAGATAGATCAATGGAACGTGTGTGCGTGTGGGTGGGTGTGAAGCTTCTTCTATGCCAAGAGAAACAAGAGAAGCAAAAACCCATCAAGGTCCTGACTCCCAACCTATCCAACTGCCCTGTTCCTGGAGTATTCAAGATCAGGCCCTCTCATGCTCGGGGTTTCTTGCGGGGAGGACGATCACCCAGCGGGAGGAGGAAGGAAGGAAGGAAGGGCGCGCTTGATGGCACACCCACGTAAACTAGAAGTCCCACGCTTCGTTTCCCCTCCATTTCCTGGTTCGGATTATTATCTGCTGCTGTCTTCCATTTAGGATCTCAGATCGTGCAACAGACGGGCGTGGAACTCGTCATTAACGGGAGATTTCTTAAACCCTAATCGACCCATCACAGCAGAAGGGAAACTCTTCGAGGAGTAGGGGGAGGAAGAAGTCGACGTTCTCTTCATCATCCCTTCTGTTTAGTCACCCTCTCTGCAGTTCTTAAGAGCCTGGAGCATCGCCTCCCTCACCACCTCCGAGTCTATCCCTTCTGCCCGGCCTTCTATCTGCAGAGAAAGAAGTGGAAAGCGAAACCCATTAAAGGATGGACATGTACGCGAGAAAAAGCCGGCCGCTCTATGGTTTGTCTCGGCCCTCGCTCATTCATCATATGATTTGGAGGTTTCGGAAGACAACACACAGCCCATGGTTGTTTTTGGATCCCTCGGTTCTTATTTTCAGGTAAAACTAAGGTCTTTTGTCACACATTTGAAGCACATAGAGAATACTTGTTTGTTCGATAGTGTTCGAGGTAGCAGGATGAAGGGAGATATCCCACGCCATCCCCATCATCTTGAATATTCACACACGCTTGTTGCTCTACGCTTGTTTTAGTCATCTTGAAAAGGGATTTGGCATCTTCACCCAAGTCCTTAGCGGAAGATAAATTATAAAAAAATGATTTTTAGGCATATCAACAAGCCTTTATGAAGATTTAGATAGTCATCAATATCCTTGTGAACTATTGGATTAATTTGATAGTTGTGTTAAGATAGAAACAAAACCAAACCCACTCATTGGTGCAAAAGAGATGACCGGGCCTTTCAACAAACAAACCATTGGACAGTTATTGAAATATGGTAGTATAATTAACCCCAGCAACCTGGTTTATCACGTGCACCAACGTTCTTGGGTAAAGTAAAAACAAATTCTAAGAAGATGAAAGGATTTCAGACAACACATAATCAAGGTCATATGAAGATTTAAATGCCGACTAGTATGCCTATAAAATATTAGATTAATTTCATATCTAAGTGCGAGGATAGGGCATTCATTGAGAACTCATTGATTTCTTACTATGAAATATTAGGGCATTCAAGTAAAAAAAATCTAATTGACTTTGAGTGAAATAAAAATTATATTTAACCACAATAGTTAAGTTTTTCCTTGAAAATATGGGCCATTTTAGCCCCCCCCCCCCCCCCCCCTCATCTGCATGAGAGGGACGATCCTCTGATATGATGAAAGAAAATCGGACAATCCAGCTCAAAAAAAATGGGTAATCCCGTAATTTAAAGTTCTCACTCCCAATATAAGAAGATGATGGTACTTACTTCTCTTCCGACAGCTTCGAGGCGGAAGGGTTTGATGCAAGAAACCCTTGCATCAAGAACATCGATACCCAGATCTTCAAACACCCTCAGAATGGAGACGAGTAGATCAGGGTAGCTCTTCTCCGAGAACACTCTCACTAAGAAGCCCTTCTCTTGACCTTGAACCGTTACCTGATGAGGCATCTGTTGAAGAAGGACCTCAGTTTACTGTCTTCCTGGAAGGAAGGGGGGAGACTTAGTATATGGCTGAAGAATACATTACCCCCATTTGATTCATTCTATCACCGGTGATGCTCCTAAGACATGAATTATTATCTTCGACGAGGTCTTTAATCTTATGCTTTAGTTCTTCGATATACTTGGATGCGTCCAGTAAAATTGAAGTGCTACTTTGCTGGAAAACATGAACATAAATAAATAATGCGTGAGACTATACTGGAGGAAAAAATAAACACATGAAAGTTTGAACCAAAACGAGAGCAAGAAATCAGCCCTTGGCCCCTGTTTGCTGATATGGTCTTATGAGCGATCAGTCAAAAATCTTCTGGCATTCATGTCTTTGTCTTAAGAAGATTTGGAAAAGTTATCGTGGACAAGTTCGCGATAAATTTGGTCAAAAATGGGGGAAAAGATTGAAATCGCTGTCAGACAAAGTGAATCAGTCTCTAGAGAGTGTGAGTGGAATTCCTGGATATGGTGAAGTATCTGGAGATGGGGTGTGGAAATATATGGCCATTTTTTTAAAAAGAAAAGCAGGATAGCAGAGGAACGCGGTAAAATCTGTATACACAGATGGTTGCATAACAGGAAACAGGGTGGAAAGAAGCTCAAGAGGGGGAGAGAGAGAGAGAGAGAGAGAGAGAGAGAGAGAGATGAAAAAGGCTCGGTTTATGATCAAATTACTGCATGAGAGTCGGTAACCGAGCGGAGTAGCTGCAGCTTGTCATGCGAACTGCTTCTCCTTTGCTCCTTAGGAAGCATGATCTCTCTCTCTCTCTCTCTCTCTCTCTCTCTCTCTCTCTCTCTCTCTCTCTCTCTCTCTCTCTCTCTCTCGCTCGCTCGCTCGCTCACGCTTCACGATGAGTAGTTCTCACATCTGTACTCTCCCCTTCGATTCCACAGGGTTTGCTCGCCTTAAATACCGCAGAGGAATCACACAGCGAGTCTAGGCGATACCAACGTTGTCGTCCAAAAGAAAACAATATTTTGCTTCCTTTTCTACGTTGCTCGATGGTTCATTGCGCTGGCAACCTCGAATGTTGAGGTTCTCAACGAATGGAATCGTCCTCTCTGAGACGAGTAAATTTTGTTATAACATAGTACCAAAACTTTAGAGAAAACAAGAGCATAAGCCTGCCTGCTGGCATCTCTCGACCATATCTGAAGTCTCTCCCTCTCTCTCTCTCCTCTCTCTGAAAAAAACAGTGTATACACTAATGAACGGAGCTCCCGTTCAAACTTCAGCGTGTCGCTAGAACGCCGTTTGCTTCGATTACATGCAGCACAGCCAGCTCTCTGTCTCTTCCACTGACCACCTTGTGGCCATCGATCTCTCACATAAAATAAACTACTCTGAGGAACATCCACAGAAAAAAACAAATAATTCATGATCGTACCCACCTATCAAAATTCTACCCCTCCAATCTTTCTAGTGCATCCACCAGAGAGAGAGAGAGAGAGAGAGAGAGAGAGAGAGAAAGAGAGAGGTTGGTTCCTTGGTATCATGAAAGCGGTAGCCTGTGGTGGAGAAACAAGAAGACGAGAGAGAGGATGGCACCTTGGTATCATGAGAAGGATGTCTTGTGGTGGAGCAAAAAGGAGACGAGTGAGAGAGGGGTAGGGAGGGGGGAGAGAGAGAGAGAGAGGTTGGTTCCCTAGTATCATGAGAAGTTGTAGGTAGTGGTGGAGCCATATGAAGACAAGAGAGAGGATGGCGCCTTGGTAGCATGAGAGTGATGTCTTGTGGTGGAGCAACAAGGAGACGAACCAGAGGGGTGGGGAGGGGAGAGAGAGAGAGAGAGAGAGAAAGAGATGGGAATCTGCTCGTCTGCTCGTGATCAGGGGGAAGGTCTGTTTTGGATTGTTTGTGTGCGGGATGGGGTGGCGTAATGTTGGGCGTGGTGGGTCTTCCCAACCACCTCGGGCCCTTGTGATGAGCTGTGAGATAATGCCTCCAAACGCCAGTCACGGGTCGTCTCCCTGTCGAACTGCAGCCCACACGTGCCCATCCCTTCTCATCCCCTCTTAAATAAATCTCTTCGGAACATATGTATATTATCCCCAGGATGACACTCACCCACTCATCTTCTTCCTAGACTCGATGTAGGATTGCATGGTCCTCCATCCCTCCTCTCTCTCTCTCTCTCTCTCTCTCTCTCTCTCTCTCTCTCTCTCTCCCACCCATCGCTGAAACATTTAACAGGTTTCGAATTAATACGGAGAACACCATGAACTTGACTTATGTAGCTGTACGTACAAGCCCGAAGTCCTAAGAACAGATTACAATAAAAACAGGCCCGACCTCATCTAAACTTTCCTAAGATCTGAGCCTCGATATGATCATGGCCTTGAAGCTCATTACCCTCTTTCTTACCATGGTTGACCCGCAATCACCCATTTGGCGGCCTCATAGGGAGGGAGGGCCAGGCCACCTTCTTGGTCTGAACCCAAGCTTCGAAAGGGTCCCGTGTAGGACCCATTTTATGGGCCCTTCTCTTAGTTTGGGTCTAGACTCCGCAAAAGATGATAAATAGGTCGATTTTTTTAATCAAGCGACAGTTTCTTACCTTAGCCTAATTTATTTGTTCTTAAATTGGGTGCAAAAGTGGAATTCATAGGTGAATTACTTCTATTGTTCCCTAATGTTGATTCAACAAACAATATGTGAATAAGGCTTACCTAAAATTGTAGCATCAATTGACACAGAATTCTTGCCCATAATAGCAGACCTTTTTATCATAAATGATACTAGTGTATAATCCGTAAATTAACTACTTATATACTCCCTAATGTTCATCCTATGGGTCAGATGTAAGGTGTATGTAAAATGGTAGCTTCAGTTGAGATGGAGGGCTTAAATCAAAGGAAACCTTGTTAAATGGGTGAGATGAAAGTTTATCTGGAGCTCACATGCACATTCCCGATGTTTGTTCAAGAAACCATATGAAAATAAGGCACGCTTCTAGTTGTCATTTTGGTTGAGCTAAGAATTTTTGCTCACAGTCGGAAGCCTTATAATTGAATATGGAGTAACGTGGAAGGGAAACACATTTATTGTTTGGAGTAACTAGGGGATTGGACTCCCCATTCTTCCAAGGGTTTTGACTTTTCAATAGATGGGTGGGGCCTACTCCGCATGAGTCTGAAAAACAAGTTAGAAACCCGACCTATATGAAGCATCGGGAAGTAACGTACCGTACATACATGTGTGTGTGTGTGTGTGTGTGTGTGTGTGTGTGTGTGAGAGAGAGAGAGAGAGAGAGAAAGATGGGCCATTTTATTATAAATTATTAGCTAGATGCCAAGAAAAAATGTGCATAGGCCCATTGCTAATCCAATCTCAGTTTTTTAAATGACATATTTTTCATTTTTACTTGGATAGATGCTACATCAAATAAAGTAGCAACCAAATCACTTAAGTCTTTTATAGATTATGTGCTACCTCTTAATGATTTAATGAGTAAAAAAATGTGACAAAATCATCATTTAGTTTCTCTCATCACTTCCAACTATAATTATGAAATCGATTCTTGAAATTTTTGTATTAGGTTACATGGATATTAGTGTCTATCATTCTAGGGGTAAAACCATTTGAAATGGTGTAGATTTGATTAAAAGGCCCATATTTTTATGTATGTTCCATCATTTATTCCTATGTGAAAGCGTCCAAAAAACAAATTTTCATTCATTTACATGATAATATGTGAAAACCAGGTGCTAGCTATAAAAAAATGATCATAATTAAGTAAATACACAACTAATCCATAAACCAAATCCACACAATCCATACCCATAAGAGAAAGATACACAAACGAACTGGTCAAAGGCTTCCGCAATATATATTTTATCACAATATCCACATCTTATTTTATCAAAATACTAGTCAGAAAACTATGTAGAAAAGAATGTCCCGATTAAGAATCCAATTTTGGTATTTCCTATTTAGGCATTTTAAAATAAGCATCATCATCGGTAGATCTAATATGCAGCAAAGTCAGTAGTGTCATGTTTCAAGAATTTAATAACCCATTGTATACCGTTAGTGGGATATGTCCAAAAGCGAAGTGTCTATCTTATGTGCTACACAATAGCTCTCTCTCTCTCTCTCTCTCTCTCTCTCTCTCTCTCTCTCTCTCTCTCTCTCTCTCTCTCTCTCTCTCTCTCTCTCTCTCTCTTTCTACCTATCTATTTACATATTTATCTATCTCTCTCGCTATGTAATGACACCCAAGTGGTTACATGCATAAAGTTGAGATGAGATCACGAGAAAAACTCTGTTCGTGATTTGACAGTTGCCTTCCCACGTTGGTACCTGGGAAAAGCTTGGGATTGATGGGCATCCTGCTCGTGGGCCATTGGTGATCAGCTTCACAGTGCATGTAAAATAATTCTTTAATGAATCGATAAGAGCTGGGTAGTAGTTATTGTCATTTTCCAAGAAACTTCAAACCAAAAAACCAACATTGATGATCTAACCCCGTCCTCCTTGATTGATTGACTGATTGACTGATTGACTGATTGATGTAGAATCCCATGAAATCAGAGGACCCGGGAGAGAAAGGAGCGGAGTTGACAAGAACAGGAACCCATAGCGTGGATTTATTGAAAGCAAATTATGTGAAGAATAAGAAATAAACGAGGGTAAGAGGAAAATACCCAAAGCCATCGACTGGATGAATATTCGCGAGTCACAAGCTCATGGAACCTTTTGTTCCTAGACTTGCAGCCACTCTAGGTGGAGAAAATCCACTGCAAGCGCCCGCAACATCTTTGCCTCTCAACACTGATCAAGCCAGAGAACCTTGAGAGAGAAGGGCCCTCAGTACACTTTCATTTGGGCACTTTTGCGGAAGGAAGGCCTGGAAACCCGATCTGTCCTTCCCTACCCCATTCCTGATGTAGAACTGTTAACGTCCGCTGTGTACCCCGATTCTTTCTCCAGGTGCTTCCTGTCTCCAGAGAAGAGCCAGTGGACTTGCCGTCCTACAACGATCTAGCTGAATCCGAGCTCCTCTCTCACTACTCTCCCTCTCGTTTCATCCCTCAAACTGAGCCCATTCGAGAAGCACCTAGCATGAACGTAAGTGTCCAATAATAACTCATCTGTTTATGAATATTCAGTCCTTACTGAGAGGATTTTCTGGGCTGTGGTCCCTCCCAGGCCACCATTTCCATGGACCCAGCAATCGTTCAGCAGCGTCTGCCAGACCATCTCAGTGGGCTCCGCGGGAATCTCATTGACGAACTTAATTGCATCTGTGAGAGAGCCCGCGTGCTCAAATAGGTCAACGACGCATGTGTACCTCTCTATTTCGGGTAAAAGATCATGTATTTCCTCCATGGAAGAGAAATGAGAGAGACCCTCTTTCATCAGCCCTGGCTGCAAGCAAAGAGAACACACAGGAGCGTGACTTGATTGGACTTGGGCCCCGAGATCTCCATCTCCATCTCCTGAAAGATCCCAAGGGCTCGATCCCTCGGGCCATTCTGTCCATAGCCCGAGATTATTGCGATCCCTGCGACCAGATCAGGATCGATGATGCCACATTTGGATCGCACGTCGATGGGGACGATGGACTTGTCTGCACTGGACAACTGAACGGGGACTGTTGGCACAGGCGGCACGAAGACTTGCGAAAGAAAACCCATTTGAGCCGATCGGATCATTTCTCGGCAGAGAGGGCAACTCCAGGGCTCTGGTTCCTTCAGTGGATTGGGAATAACCAATCAGTCGGCAATGCTGTCCATGAAACCACGTCTGTCTTCCATCTTCCTCAGAACCCTTTCAGCGTCCTCCAGATGCCCAAGATTCGAATAAACATCAACGAGGGCATTATTCACGTATAAATCAGGTGAATTTCTCCAGCAGCATCCCACAATGCACGATCTTAACGAAGAATTGAGCCCATCGGCTAGAAGACCAATGTCTATGGCCATCATCGGTGCCCACGAGAAGACACTCTCATCGGATATTCAGTCAAACACCCTTGATAGAGTTGCAGCACTGATGGGTGGTGATCCAGCTCCTCTGCAGATTCAATGGACAGAATTTGTCTTTGAAAAGGTGGACCTTAAAGTAGGAGCCAATCAGGCCCTTTTTTCTCGGTTTGACTACTTTTTCCTTTAAATATTTCTTTTCTTGCTGTATGGGACTGTCATCTGTCCCGCTATGACCCTATTTTTTCATTATTTTTTTTCTTGACTTTGTTTGTCTATACATTCTATAAGAACACCCATCAAGTGTTTGGTTGTAATGCTAATGAGAAGAATCGTTTTCTTTCTATAGAATAATCTATTTGCTTCTCCAATCCTTCTTTTGCTCTCACATTTTTCTCCAAATCTTTAATACAAGTAGTGATTTTACTCCATCAATAGGTGATCTGCTCCAACAAGTGGTATCAGAGCCTCTAATTCCAAGACATGTGATGATACTGAAGATTGCTACTATTTCATCCAAGTCATCAGAGCCTGTTGTGGAGACACAACTACTTTGTTTGACCAAGACAAATTATTGTCATTGGTCAATGATGATGGAGTGCTATTTAGAGGTACAAGGATGGTGGGATGTCATCGAGGGTGATGATGTTCCTAAGAAAAAGGACATGCAGGCATTGTTTATGATTTTCAGCATTGTGTTAGAAGTTTTCTTGAGAAATCTCGACACCAAGAAGACTACAAAGTAAAATTGGGAGGCTCTATGCCTCGTCAATATTGGAGTTGATCATGCTGTTGAGTCAAGAGTTCAGAGACTCCAACGCAACTTCGAGACCTTTTCTATGAGAAAGGAGGAGCTTGTAGCTGACTTTGGTGTCAAGATCACCAAGATTGTGTTAGAGTTAAAGAGTTTGGGTGAATCAATCTCTGAGAAAGAAGCATTTCATAAGCTTTTTAAATCCACCCCTTGAGAGTTTGATTCCTTAACACCTGAAGAAGCCATTGGGTTGTTGCTGGTCCAAAAGCAAAGGCTTCATGATCGTGAGGCTAGAGAAGAGCATAAGGCTCTCCTAGCAAGAGCCATGGTGAAGACAAAGCTTAATCTTGGGAGCGATCATTCAATCCGAGGTCGTGGTTGTGGTCATGGCAAAGAAAGAGAAAGAGGACGAGGTAGATTGTTCGAATCTCATAATAAAGATGAAGAAAGAAAGATTTTTGACAAATCCAAGGTAAAGTGTTTTAATTTTCAAAAGATGGGTCATTTTGCTTCCGAGTGTTGTAGTGGGAAGAAGTAAAAGGAGAAGGATGAGAAGGTGAATCTTGTCAACACTAAGGAAAAGAGTGAATCAACATTACTCATGGTATTTTTTGAGAAATTAGAAGTCATTCTTCTCCAAGGCCAAAATGGAGATACCTCTACTTGTGACTTGTGGTATCTTGATACAAGTGCCACCAATCATATGATTGAAAAAAGGGACCTCTTTTGTCGTTTTGGCAATAGTAGAACAAGGAGAGTAAAATTTGGTGATGAATCAGACATTAACATCTATAGCGAAGGGTCAATTGTGGTGAAATGTGCCAATGAAGAGAACTTGGAATTAAGCAATGTCTTGTATACACCTAAGCTACGCATTAATATCTTGAGTCTTGGCCAACTCAATAGAGATGAATGTAGCATAATTTGGAAAATAAAATTCTAGTAATTCATGAATCTAATATAAAACTTTTGACCAAAGTGTGCAGATCTCATGACATGCTATATCAACTGAAGTTGAATATAGTGAAAACCTGTTTATTGACAAAGAAAGAAGATGAAATGATTTGACTATGATATTGACATTTTAGGCACTTAAATTTCAAGTCATTAATATTTACAACTAATCAGGTGACTAGGATTACATCTCTTTAAAAACCTAAAGAGATATGCTAGAGTTGTATTGCTAGAAAGCAGCAAAGAAAGTCCTTTCCCTCACCAAATTTCAAAGCCACGAAGCTTCATGAGCTTGTTTATGGAGATATTTGTGGCCCATTACTCTATCAACCCTTAGAGGGAGTAAGCACTTTTTTCTAATCATTGATGATTTTTTTAGGCTCATGTTGGTTGCCATGTTGAAGAACAAGTCAAATGCTTTTCAAACCTTTAAGAATTTTAAGGTATTAACTGAAAACGTAAAAGAGATAAAGATAAAGTGCTTGAGGACAGATCATGGGAGTAAATTTGTTTTAGAAGAATTTCATGAAGTTTTGTGATGAGTAAAGTATTAGAAGGCAGCTGATGACTCCTTATTCACCACAATAGAATGGGGTTGTAGAAAGAAAAAATAAGAATATCATGTCCATGATTAGAAGCATGATGAAGGAAAAAAACATGTCATTGGAGTTATGGGGAGAAGTAGTGAACACATGTGTTTATATTTTGAACAGGTCAACCACAAGAAGCTTGCAAGGTGCACATCCATATGAAAAATGGATTAATAACATGCCTTGTGTTGACCGTTTGAAGGTATTTTGTTCTATTGTTCATGTTAAACTACTGGAGAGAGATTGGAAAAGTTAGAAGACAAATGCTGACCTATGATTTTTATTGGCTATGAAACTTACATCAAAGGCTATAGGTGCCTTGATCCTCTAACCATGAAAGTTCATAATAATAGGGATGTGATCTTTGAAGAAGGGCACAAATGGGAATGAAATATAGAGGAAGATGTAGATGATGAAAATTGATTTCATCCTTTTTCACTCCCTAATTTGGTGGTTGACAATTTTGAACATGAAGAGCCCATACCTAGATAAACATTCACAAAACATTCAAAAGAATTCTCTTCTCCAAAAGAGGTGCAAGCAAGGAGATTAAAGTCTATTCAAGATATTTATAATGAGATTAATCTATTGCCATCTAGCATGATTGTTTGCTACACTTCTTAGGAAAAATTGACAACTTATTTTGAAGCCTTTGAATATGAAGTATGGAAGTAGTCAATGAAAGAAGAATTAGAGGCAATAGAGAAGATTGGTACTTGGGATTGATCTCTCCACCACTTGGTTGCATACCCATTGGGCTCAAATGGGTATTCAATATCAAAAAAAAATCAAAAGAGAAGTGACATGACATAAGACTTATTTGGTTGTGAAGGGATACACTCAAAGATATGAGATTGATTATGAAGAGGTATTTGCTTTAGTTGGAGGATTTGAGTTTATTCATGTGTTGGTGGCTCTTATAGCACACACGAAATGACATATCCATTATCTGGATGTGAAATTCACTTTTTTGAATAGAGATTTATGTGAAGTAACCAGAAGGCTTCATTGTGAAAGGAAAAGAGCATCATGCGTTTATATTGAAAAGGCCCTTTTATGAGCTCAAGTTGGCGCCAAGAGCTTGGTGTTTCAAGCTAGATCATTGCTTATCCTCTCTCAATTTCACTAGAAGTGAATATGAGCATGTTGTTTACTTCAAGAAAATTGATGATTCTCACTTATATATTGGCATGTATGTTGATGATTTAATTGTGACATATGCAAATATTGCTCACATTCATGATTTTAAAGACAAAATGATGAAGGCAAAATATTGTATTGGACTGTCATCTATCTTACTATGACCCTATTTTTTTGTTTTTTTACTTGACTTTGTATGTCTATGCATTCTATAAGCACGTCCATCAGTGTTTGGTTTTAATACTAATGAGAAGAATTGATCTCTAGTACAAGTGGTGGTTTTACTCCATCAATAAGTGATCTACTCCAATAAGCACTTGACGTGCATGTGTGCAATGAGGCTGGAGAGCATGATTGTGTTAGCAAGTTCCTCTTCAAAAACATTGGATTTTAAAAAGAACCCGTAGTCTGACTTCGCTTCTCCAACAAACCTCTTCACCCCGCATCAAGGCAAGAGGTAAATAAATTGCCAGGCTCCAGGCTCTTCATTAGATTTTTCAACCATTAGAGCCCAAAATGTTGAAGTTATTATGGAGAATGATCTAATAGGCCTCATGGGCTCTATGGACAATATGATGATTTAATAGGCCTCATGGGCTCTATTAAATCACGTAAATCTAAAATTTATAAAACTACAAAATATGATTTTTGGATATTTAGAAGTATTTCTGAATAAATATATCAATTATAATTCAATAAAACTTCCAAAAATAATAGTAATTTTCCAAGTTGATCATAGGGATACAATATAATATCCGGTAATTATTCATAATTTTTCTCAAATAATATGATTTTCTATAAATTTTATAGTAGGAAATGAAAAAGAAATATATTTAAAATTTATGAAAAAGGAAAATAAGGGTGCAGACATCATGATGACATCAGCACCTAGGGAATACAAATCGGATAGAAATAAAGTTCTGTCTGGTAATTCTTACGTAAGTAATTACAGACAATTTAATTAATCAAATTAAGATCTATAAAAGTTAGAAGAATCGTAATTGAACAAAATATATTTTGGTAAATTAAAATCACACAAATTATTATTAAATGAAGCATAAAGTAAGTTGAAAGCAAGAAAATAGAGTTCTAGCATCGCGACGGCGATGTGTCGGTGATGCACCGAAATCTTGAGCATTCGAGAGGATCATTGTGTAGTGTCTACAGCCTCAAAGGCTCTCCTTAGACAAAGACAACGTGAGTAATCTCTAAATCTCCTTGCAAAGTCTAGAGATTAATGAAATGAGTCATTGAATCATCTCCGGTAATTGCCACCCGACATAGTGGAAAAATGGTGACTTTGCGGCTCTCTGGCGGCTGTCACCTAATGGAGAGGAGCTGGATGGAGGTGAGGTGTATGTTAGGGAGCTTTATCCTCATGTTCGCGCAGTAAGGGGAAGCTCTTCATCGCATCTGGTACGCCCTCAAGAGGTAGCGACTCGTCTCCTGACAGATCGTCCTCTTCCTGATGATAGCTTGTTCGTCGATCAATTGGAGATGCTTTACTCGATAGATTTGCAATTATTTTATCGCGAATCGTTCAACAATTTTAGTAACAATGCTCTGTGAATCGCGTTGACAAGATTTTCGTCGATGATCCAACGATTCTAGTTGCTTAATCTTTCACCGACGATCTGTAAGAAAGTTGTGATAATTAGATAAAAATATGAATGTTAGCTCTAGGAGGATTTAATCCCATGTCGGTTGCCCCTTCTTTCTAGGGAAGGTGATGCATGTTTAGTCCCACATTACTTGTGTGCCGAATATTTGGACAAATATATAGTAATGTTACATTTCAAGCAGGTCTCTCTCTCGCACGTGTACAATCATTCCTTGCCCCATAGCCGACTAGTCGCCAATGACATGGAAGGAGAGTGGCGCACACGTGCCCTATCGGTCCAAGCCGCTCGAGCCCCTACTCGCGGCTACTCCCCGATTGTGCTTTCGACCTGCTTGCGGGCCCGACTGGCCGACGGGTCCCCCATTTTGTCTTATTTTTATTTTTATTTTGTTTTCTTTATTTATCTCAAAAGTAAGATTGTAAAAATCATTTTAAATCACATAATTATTTAAAAATTCACGTTAATCAACTAAAAACTACTTTTCACAGTTTAACATAAATATAAGTCTATTTATCATGAGTTAAGACTAAAACTATATTATTTACTAATTATTAACTCATGATAATGAAGACTTTTCAATGATCAAATTCTCTTAGCACCCATGGTGAGTTGTTGGAAGAAAATTTAGTTTTAAGAACATAATTATCCTTTCTCTCCACATATTCTTTCTAACCCCATGATAAGAAGGGAGAAGAGGCCACTTGCTTGTATTCTTGCCCCTAAAGGAAGAAGAGCATATGTGACACTACATATGTATGAGGAATCTCCTAACCACAAGTACTTAGTGTATGTGTTCCTCCATTCATCTCTCACATCTCCCACTCCCTCTTTCCAAAAGTTGGATCCACAAGTACTTAGTGTGTGTGTAACATCCATTTTTATTGATCTCCTTGTTCATCTTTCCAAAAGTTGGATTTGAATCAATTCATTTGTCAAAATAGGACTTAAAAATAAATGATCTTTTTCTTTGACAAAACTGCAAATGTTATATTCTATAGGTCCTATAATCTCATTTATTTAGATTGCATTGTCTTCCGCTCGTCCCCAAAGACAAACGCACTTACCTACAACACAAAGCGTCTTCAATTGGACAGCTAGAAACGCCGTGAAGAAATAAAAAGGAGCGTACCCATCTAGCTAGCGACAAGTGATACGAAGATTAGACGTACTGCCACGTCCGATTTGATCACCCATGTCAGCTCATTAGTCCATTTCCACGTGGCTAATGTCCAAACTCTTCTAGCACCCATTCCTTATAAAATCGAGAGGATTATTCGACTTCTAGAAGCCCCCCTTTAACTTGCCTACCATTAACTTCCAAGAGTATTACGATGACTAGCGTAGAGTAGGGCAGAGAGAGAGAGAGAGAGAGAGAGAGAGAGAGAGAGAGAGAGAGAGAGGACGTCCACTTTGGGTGATGGGATAAAATAAGCAGCCGTCTTTAAATGGCCATAAGATTAGTTCGATCGGTCTCCACTGGCTTTTTGCATGGATTGATTGGTTAGTGCGAAGCAGAGTCACCCCGACGAGCTTCTCTCTCTCACGTCTCATGGTTAACCTTTCAGCAGATTGCGTCTAGATTCATGGCCTCTTTTCCCCGCCCCTTGGCGAGTTCCGACACCCGCTAGGCGACAAAATAGGAGGCGGCGACGAGGTTTGGATCGATGGCGGTGACGGCGATCGTCTGGGTGGCGGCGGCGGCGGCGGCGGCGGCGGCGGCGGCGTCGTCGTCGTCGTAGCTCGAGACCCCTGATCGATCTGTGGGCAATGTCCAGCGAAGCAAAGAGGGTGACCAGAAGGCGGAGTTTCGTATCTAGCTCATCGGACGGCTACGTAACCCCAATGAGGGGGTAAAATGGTAAAGTCATTCCTTTGGGCCTAAGGTTTTCGCGGTGGGTATATATACGAAGGCAACGACCCCATTTTCTTCCTCGGGCAGCGAGAGGGAGAAAAAGGGGAGAGGAGAGGGGCGGGAAGGTCCAAGAATGCAGAGGCTTATTCTTCTTGGCGGGAGGTTCATCTCCTCCTTCTCGAGCTCGCTCCGTGCGCAGGAATGGAAGTTCCGGGGATTCTCTCAGATGGCGGAAGCCGTCTCGCCGGACAATGGCGATCCGAGAATGCCGCCCTTCGAGTATGTCCCCCCGGCCTACGACGGTCCCCCGGCGGAGGAGATACTGAGGAAGCGCTCGGAGTTCCTCAGCCCCTCCCTGTTCCACTTCTACAAGAAGCCTGTAAAGCTCCCTGGTCCTCTCTCGTATATCGAACGCTCTCGGTTCGAATTGTCAAAATGGAGATCAATCGATGCGGGAGTTTTTTCCGCATTCATTTCTAGGCGTGCATTCTCTCCTTGATCTGCGTACCTGATGATACTCGGCATCCTGCAGCAAGGCCTGCGATCCGCGGGCTATGGATGTCCCTTCCTCATGTTATTCGTTCTTTCTATCTTCGTTCCGCTTTCTTATTTATCAGTTCATCTACAGACACATCTAACTGTTCGGCTGGCTGCTCATTTTTTTTAGCTAACTTCTTCGTGATTCTGTTTGTCCTCTATCTCTCACCCTCCCCCATCATTCTGAGATTAATGGCATCGTACACGTCATGGTAGCCTGTTTTGTGGCTACCGTGTTCAAGTCCAGATGTTACTCTTTTTACTTTAGTGTCACAGATTTTGTGGAAACCTATTATACCCCTATCTCCCGGTTGTCCCATTGCCGAACTCTTATTCCAGCTGTAACCCGAAGGCTACTTTTACGTCAATTTTTTCTTCTTTTTTCCCCGATGGGCGTATTAAAAGTTAGATGAGTAGTTTCCAAATCAGAACTCAGACACGACGAGCAAACTCCTGTGTATCAGTCTTTCGTGTTTTGCTGGTATTTTACCTCGTCTTTTGGATATCGCGCAGTTAAATATCGTCGACGGGAAGATGCAGTACCTCTTCGACGAGAGTGGGCGCCGATATCTTGATGCCTTCGGTGGGATTGCCACAGTTTGCTGTGGACACTGCCACCCGGACGTCATCGAAGCCATCATCAATCAAACGAAACGCCTTCAGCACTCCACCGTTGTATATCTAAACCACGCCATCTCCGACTTTGCAGAAGCGTTAGCTTCAAAGCTTCCTGGCGACCTGAAGGCATGCAGTTTCCTTTCCTTTTGTGTCCATTCCCTGTTCTTACCCTTGCCTTCCTTGTCATTGGAATGTCTTTTGGTTTTACCATCTTTTTGTTTCTGGTACTGTATCCAGGTCGTCTTCTTCACAAATTCTGGTACGGAGGCAAACGAGCTCGCGTTGATGATTGCTCGGATCTACACCGGCTGCCACGATGTCATATCCCTGAGGAATTCATACCATGGGAACGCAGCTGGGACGATGGGCGCAACTGCTCAATCTAACTGGAAGTTCAACATTGTACAGGTAAGATCTTAGTGGTAAACGCGAGATTTAACAGTCGTCAAAAAATTCGAAAGTAGATAGCGCAACCCGTCGACGCAACTATGAGGTCTACTAGTCATCCTGGTCTTTATTGAATAGCCAAGAAGAGGATACTTCGTTACCCTGGCACCGATTCGTTTTATACTAAACGCTACCTCTTGCTAAGATGCATGTTCTTTTATAGTATAATTTTCTTGCTGCTTGATTTGTGTGAATCTCTAAGACCCTAGGCATGAAAAATTAAATTATAATGTCAGATGGGAACTGTAGTTTTGGACACGGATGTTAAGGAATTGATGTTAAATAGCATCTCCATAGATGGTGTTCAAGGAGACTTTGGCATGATGTCACTATAATCCCTACAAAAGGTCACAGATATGTCTTCCCTGGCCCTCGATTTATACCGAGGATCAAGAAAAGAGGAGAGAAAGAGTCCTGCCGTCTTTGGAAAGTTTTTTTTTGCGGCGTTACGCAGCATAACTCTTCTAGTGTTCTTGGAGAGGCACAGAAACTCACCTTCATCTTTGTTCCGTGTCGTCAGAGCGGCGTGCACCATGCCCTCAACCCAGACCAATATAGAGGTGTTTTTGGAGCTGATGGAGAAAAGTACGCTAATGACGTCCAAGAGATTATCGAGTACGGCACTTCTGGGCATGTGGCGGCCTTCATCTCTGAAGCCATCCAGGTTCGTGTTTCCAGTGGGCTCCAAGCCTTCTCTGGTTCGGACTGATCTTGCCCTTGTGCGCAGGGAGTGGGAGGGATTCAAGAGCTAGCCCCAGGTTACCTCCCTGCGGTATACAAAAGCGTCAAGCAAGCCGGGGGCCTTTGCATAGCAGACGAGGTCCAGTGCGGGTTCGCCCGCATAGGAAACCATTTCTGGGGCTTCGAAGCTCATGGCGTCGTTCCCGACATCGTCACCATGGCTAAGGTAAGCTCCACCTCCGGCATTCCAGCTTCCCCTTTTGGATGCCGTGGTCACAGCGATAGCGGAAAACGTCTTCTTCCTCACCCATCTCGTCCCTGAGTACCTCCCTGCACGGGTACGGCTCGTCTCCCCTTCACAGGGGATCGGGAACGGGATCCCCGTCGGCGCGGTGGTCACGACCCCGGAGATCGCGCAGGTCTTGGCTCGACGCAGCTACTTCAACACGTTCGGTGGGAACCCCGTCTGCACCGCCGGTGGGCTCGCCGTCCTGCGGGTGCTCGAGAAGGAGAAGCTCCAAGAGAACGCCTTCCTCGTGGGGTCCTTCCTCAAGGACCGCCTGAGACACCTTCAGGAGAAGCACGACAGTAAGCGCCCGCTTCCCTTTTCGTCACCATCTTCCTCTTCAGGATTCTAGAGTTTCGGTGTTCCATCTCTCTCTCTCTCTCTCTCTCTGCCTACCCTCCCTCTCTCTCTTTCTTCAGTTATCGGCGATGTCCGGGGAATGGGCTTGATGCTGGGCGTAGAGCTGGTCACCGATCGCGAAGCCAAGACTCCGGCCAAAGCGGAGACACTCCAGGTGATGGACCAGATGAAAGGTCGGTATCCCTCAAACCCTCCATTCAGACGGCAGTCCACCGAACACCTCCCAAGCCCCGTCATGACCTTCTCTCCCTTCTCTGTAGAGATGGGCGTCCTCGTGGGGAAGGGCGGCTTCCACGGGAACGTCTTCAGGATCACCCCTCCCCTCTGCATAACCAAGGAGGACGCGGGTTAGTTCTCTTCAATTCCTCCCCTCCCCCCCCCCGGTTATTCCACCCATTCTCAGACCTCTTAGGGCTTCCTACCCTTCGCTGCAGAGCTCCTCGTGCACGCCATGGACCTCGCACTCACCAAGCTCTGAAGCCCCCGTCGGGTTTGCACGTGTGCGTTGATGTTGTCACATCAGTTTCCATTATTTAGATATCACTCCCTGCCCTCCCCTATCTGAATTATCTAGTCTATTCGTCATCGGTGGGTTGAGTGATCCCAAAAACCCGGCCCAGTTTCTCACATTTGGGCCTTGAAATGAACCCAAAAGTTGACTATTTTAAGGTCCAAATAAATGGGAGCCCCCCGGACATAGAGTCATAATATTGACTGATAATCATGTGACGCCGTCGGATGTACTCTGTCACATGATTGCTTGCCATAATGTTTCAAGTGTGTAGGGCATACTCCCATCTTAGTCAGTCCAAACCTTCACGTTAGGAGTTCAAACTCAAAACACAATTATTTTTACTTTATTACTCAATCTGGAATTATACTAGGCTCACATCCCTAGTGATATGTGACTTGGTATGAAAGTTAATGTCATACAATGTCGTGCCTATTTTGCCGCCACACCTTGTCTAGTTAATCGTCAGTTCTAACGTTTCATGTGAGAAATCTCCCCTCGTTGTGTTAGCCGTGTGGTATTCTCACATCGTCATGATAGCTCTCTGATATTCTTTATGTTAGATACAGTAGTTGATAATATCTTGAAATTGCCAATGGTCAATATCATGCTCTCACATCATGTCTTACTCTAATTGGCCACACCACTTGACGAGCAATAAGACATGCTGATGTGTGTGGAATCACCCACCGCTGTCAATATCTTTATTATTTAAAATGACATCTACCTTATCTCTATATGAATGTGTATGGAATATATGGATCCTTTATACTTTTCAGGTAATTGTAACCTTAGTCAATAGCCCAATTAACCCATCTTTGAGCCTCTTGATCTACATTTTACTATTTTAGTCACAACATCACTAGATTGGAAATAATATACTCCACCTCGCCTCGATTCAATAGTGGTGGTCGACATTCTTCCCCATTCAACACATTGTACGTGAAAGCTTGCTTCTATGTCGTGAGCTCTTAGAGTAAATGATATGTCGACTATTGGAGCTCCTACCTAGTAAATACGTCTTTACAGAACATAGAGTAGGACGTGGAGGCTTGCATCCGCCCTTGCTTAGTCTGTCTGCAAGGTAAGACCAAGCGAATGAAAGCAATGAGGACACTAGAGCCGCTACCAATACTTGAACATTCAAGACAGTAAGTTGTCATTGAACTTCATCATGAGACTATCGAAGGTAAATGACCACAATGTGATCTTGATCATGGTAGACGAATCTTCCAAACATGCAATATTTATGCTGACATGGACCAATTGAGGAGCAAAAGATGCGGTGTGACTCCTCATACCAAATGTGGTGCAATTTTGGGGCATCAAATATCTTATTCAACAAGAATCTATACTTTATTGGTAACTTTTGGTCGGCACTCTTCAAGCAGATAATTGGCTTATTGACTGAAGATATCATGTCAGCTTTAGTATATCGGTTACTCCATCTATCACTACTTAAATCATACTAGTTAAATATTCAGGATTCAGAACCCAACTGTCCACATCAAACTCATGTAAAAACCAAGTAAATACAGCGACATGGCCACGAGATGTCAACGAGATACAGTGACCAGGTAAAAACCGTTTTAGTTCATAAGTATATCAACGAGATGGGCGATTCCAAACATCACCACGTCTTCATCTTCATCATGTGACATGGCCATTCCAAGGAAGAGACGATATGAGAACGTAGCATTGCCCTTTGGCAGTTTGAAGACCTTATTAGCTACTTTCTCGAGGGATACCCTCCAACGAGGAAGTTGTAACTTGAAGCAGAAGTAGAATATCACAAGGTTGATACAACAAGACAAGAATACCATGGGGCTAGCTCAGTCAAGCAACAATATCATGGGACTAGCTCCGTTAGACAAAAATATCAAGAGGCTGACGTGACCGGGCTGAATTCGTTAAGTAAATCCTCTTGGTTGACGGTTTGGATGGGATGGTGAAGCAGGTGAATTCAACATCATGGGAATAAGTAACATGGTGGGAGCACGAGGCGCAATCAATGTCGTGGCACGACGGGTGACATAAAGAATGCGCAATAAATAAGGTGGACATGCACGGCATGTTATGTCTGACATTATCAACTGAATTAACATTAATTTCATATCACTTAATCTAATGATCAGGAGCCTAATTCCCTCTGTAATGTGATGGTGCATAGTGTAATGTCACCTTGAGTAATACTATACTTGTCCATATGACAAAAATGATGAATGTCGGGTCGCCATGTTAGCCTTATAATATTCTCACCTTGCCGTGCCAGCACTGTCAATACCCATGAATCATACTCAGTGGCCTCAAATGATGCCTTGCCCACACGCTCAAAAAATGATGCTCTACCCCTCTACCGACGACCCACGGATAACGTAGCCGTCCCTCCTCTCTCTCTCTCTCTCTCTCTCTCTCTCTCTCTCTCTCTCTCTCTCTCTCTCTCCTTTATGACGCGAGGGCGAGTATAGCTTCATGATTGCGGAGTAATGACATTCACGTGGACCTACGTTTGTGGGTTAAACAGTGTCCCTCACTCCCACGTCCCATGTTGAAAGTATTTCAACGTGCAATTAGCCGCCACTTGGTTGGAGGAGCCTAAAGAAGACAGAGGGCAGTTGAGGAGGTCCGTGAGGATGTGATCGTGCGAGCGGACAAGATTTTGACCTCACAGTTGTTGGTGAAGGTGTCTCCATCGTCACTCAGATTCTCATCCGACGGGTATACATATCCGCTCCCCTCCCTCTACTTCCTTCACTTCCTCCTCTCTCTCTCTCTCTCTCTCTCCCCTCCTTTCTCTCTCTCGGACCCTGTGGGGAATGGAAGTCAAAGAAGCGCCAACGATGTCCCATATGGACCTGGAGGATGGAATGAGCACCAAATCCAGCGGTAAACGAGGCGGCTGGATTACTGTCCCCTTCATCATTGGTAAGTTCCTCTGTGTGTGCGTGTGATCATGATCTTTCTCTAACTCTATCTCTGTCGATCCATGGCTTCCATGAATGGGTTTTGTTTCAGGGAGTGCGGGGGCGCTGGGACTCGCGACTAGTGGGGCGTCGGCGAACCTCCTCGTGTACCTCGTGGAGGAATTCAACGTGAAGAGTATCGACGCGGCACAGATAACGAACATAGTCAACGGCTGCGTCAGTCTGGCCCCAATCCTTGGAGCCGTCATCTCCGATTCCTTCTTTGGCTGTTTCCCCGTCATCGCCGTCTCCACCGCCATCTCCCTGCTGGTAACCCATGTTCTTCCTGCCTGCTTCTAATGGACGCCTCTTTCAAAGTTGTCACTTTTCTTCTCACGAATTGAAGAGGTTGTTTGGCTTCAGAAACTCCTAATCCATCCTCTCCGCTTTCAGAGCATGGTTCTCTTCACATTGACCTCCACCATAAGCTCACTGCGGCCGGCGCCGTGCGCCACCGGGTCCGACGCCTGCCCGACTGCCACCCCCGACCAGCTCGCCGTGCTCTACGCGGCGGTTGCCCTGGTGTGCGTGGCCTCCGGCGGCACGAGGTTCACCACCGCCACCATGGGGGCCGACCAGTTCGACAGCGCCACTGATCAGAACGTCTTCTTCAACTGGTACTTCATAGCGCAGTATGTGTCTTCCGTGCTGGGAGCCACCGTGATCGTCTACGTGCAGGACAGCGTGAGCTGGGGCTGGGGCTTCGGCATCTCCGCCGCCGCCAGCGCCGCCGCCACGGCCGTCTTGCTCCTCGGCCTACGCCATTACCGGCGGCCCAAGCCGACGGGGAGCCCCTTCACTGGCTTGGCCCGCGTGGCGGTCGCAGCCGTGAGGAAGTGGAGGCTGCCGACCTCGCCGGAGGCCGTGGGACTCTTCTTCGGACCGGACAAGTCGACTCTCCAATCTAATCAGCCTCCATCGCTGAGCTTGAGGTGCTTAACCATGCTAGAGCAGCACTTCCAAATGTTCCCGGAATAATACATTCGTTCCACTTAGGAAACTTATCCCGGGAAATGATCTGTGATCGGCGGTGCTCCAAACAGCCTTAACGACGTTTTAATATTCTCAGCCTGACATAAAATTAAGATTGTTTTGTCAAAAGCTTTGACTTTTTGGGTCGAAAAGAGATGAAAGTGCACTCTTTTTTTTTGTGGGCTGACTTTACGACAGGTGGCTGAACAAGGCGGCGGTAGTGACGAGAGGGGACAACAACGAGGACGGCTCTCTGGCGAAGCCATGGCGGCTGTGCACGGTGCAGGAGGTGGAGGACCTGAAGGCCATCGTGAGGATTCTCCCTCTCTGGTTAACCGGCATCTTCCTCAGCATCTCCATCGGTATCCAGGGAAGCCTCACCGTCCTCCAGGCGTTGACTGTCGACCGCCGCCTCGGCCCCCACTTCTCCGTCCCCGCCGGCTCCCTCATCGTCTCCTCCTTCGCCGCCTCCGCGGTCACCCTCTTCCTCCTGGACCGCTTCATCTTCCCCACATGGCGCATGTTGACCGGCCGCGAGGAAACGCTGCTCCGCCGCGTGGGGATTGGCCACGCCATCAACATCGCCGCCATGGCTGCGTCGGCGTTGGTGGAGAGGATGCGGATGAGCGCCGTGAGGAGCCACCGCCTCGCCGACGACCTTGCCGGCGCCACCGTGCCGATGTCGGTCCTCTGGCTGCTGCTGCCGCTGGTGCTCGTCGGGGTGGCGGAGGCCCTCCATTTCCCCGGGCAGGTGGCGTTCTACTACCAAGAGTTTCCTCCAGCTCTGCGGGGCACCGCCACGGGGATGATGGCCGTGATCATCGCCCTGGGGTTCTACCTCAGCACTGCCGTGATTGACCTGGTGCGGCGGGCGACGGACTGGCTTCCTGATAATGTCAATGCGTCCAGGCTCGACAGGGTGTACTGGACGCTGGCGGCCGGCGGAGCGGTCAACCTCGGGATGTTCTTGATCTTGGCGCAGGCCTACAGGTGCCGGAGCGGCTCACCGGAGACGCTGGCGGCGGAGAAGCAGGTGGCGCTCGCTCCTCCTCCCCCGACGTCGGAGGGACACAAGAGACTGTAACGTCAACTCCGCCTCCTTCTCGACTGAATGAAGCTCAGAGAGAGAGGAAGAGAAGCGCCTTTGAACGGCTCTTTCTCCCTTACCTTCTATCAATAAATTGTCGGTTTGGGCTCTGTGCATGAGATCTTGACGAAATGAAACTACAGATGAGAGAGAGAGAGAGAGAGAGAGAGAGAGAGAGAGAGAGGCGCCTGTGGACGTCTCCTGTTTCCTCAATACGAATCCCCCCTACCGACTGTCTGTCAATAGAATGTAGGTGTACGCTTTGCATGAGATGCCGTTGAAGTGAAACTACAGATGAGAGAGACAGAGACAGACATATTGGGTAGTTAACCGTTCTAGCAATTTTTGGGGGTAGGGAGCCCACACTGTGAAGTCAACGGCAAGCTGCCTATTCATGCCCACGCAGGAGCACCAACTATGACGCTTCATGTCCCAACTCGGGTAGCTGGGCCCGCTCATCTGCACCAAACACGATTTTTCTAGAATTAGGTCGAGCACGATTCCTGATCTGAGGGGCCATTCGTCCCACGCGGATACACCTTCCACCCACTCCCCCTGTGACAGGTGCACCGATTTCAGCAATAAAAATATTGTGATATTTTATGATTATATAGTCTTCAAGACATTACAGCAGGAAGCGATGGCGTTGTAAGGGATCTTCCAACTGAAAAACCCCTCCTAGTATTTATCCTAAAATAGTACAATCAGAGACATTCGAGATTGGAATTATTTCCTGTCTAGGGTTCTAAAACCCACCCGATTAGGCAAGTAAAAGGATGCCCACCCTCTTCCTGATACCCACAAACCATCGCGCTGAAATCAGAGATCTTGGTGGATAATTCTTCCTCGATTAAGCTGAAATCTGTAACGAAGTTGTTTTGTGGGAGATAGAAACAATGACTGCAGGGACGACTTCCCCCAGGTAATCAGGGTTTCGTCGAATGAAAAGGGAGAAAATGAGGAAGAAGACAGAGGACATGAACCCTAAATCAGGATTTCGACGCACCCCAGCCTCTTGCTGACTTGATCCTTCGATAACCTCTCCTCGCTGCACCTCCCTTTCTCTTATCAGGCCGACCCTAATGGGCATATGCTTTTGGGCTTCGGCGTTTGTATGTCAAGCCCAGGGTCCTTGCAAAATCTTCCATTGGTATGGGGGTCGTGAAGAAGTCAAACCTCAATGGAGCTGCATCCGAGCTGCTTCTTAGGTCCCTGGCTCAACGCCTTCCCCATCAGCTCTGCCCGCCACTGCCCAATCTCCTCCCTCGGCATATAAACCATGCAGCAGGGCTTGGGCAGCACCATTGCCCGGCTCCAACTGGATCATCCTCTTCGCCGCCCACACGCCAAGTTCTCTGTTCCCATGCACCCTGCAGCCACTCAGCAGCGATCTATAAATAGCAGGGGTGGGCTCAACCGCCATTGAAAGGATCACCTCTTGCGCCTCCTGAAGATAGCCCTTCCGGGCATGGAGATCGACCAAGCAGGCATAATTGTCCATTGATGGAATGATCCCATACCGAGAGATCATAGAATTGAAGAACCTCCGTCCTTCTTCTACGAGCCCTGAATGCCTGCAGGCGGATATCACTGCTGAAAATGTGGCCTGACTTGGCTCCAAGCCAGAGGATTTCATCTTGTCGAAGAGATTGATGGCATCAGCCACGAGGCCGTGGTAGGCATAAGCTGTGATCATGGTGTTGAAGAGGACCGAATCATAGTCACCTTGGAAACCTGTAAACAGAGCCCTTGAGCTATCGATGTCCCCGCACTTTGCATAGGCATCCACCAGAGCGCTCCCTATCCAATGGTGTTCCTCAAATCCAGACTTCACGATGAGAGAATGGATGCACTTGCTTGGAGTGAAAGCAGAGATTTTAGCACATGCATTCAGGGCGCTGCAGATTGCGAAATCATCTGGTTTCTCCCCTGCTTCACCCAGACTGTTGAGCAGGGATAAAGCCTCTAGGCTAAAGCCTTGCTTCGAGAGTGCAGATATCATGGCCGACCAGGACACAAGATCCGGTGCTCTGATCTCCTGAAATGACTTGAACGAATTTCCAACCATGGCGGAGCTAGCATAAGCATTGATCAATGAGGACCCCACGTAGCAAGAAGAGCTAAAACCAGCCTTGGTCACGCAAGCATGGATCTGTTCTCCAACCCTCTTGAACTGAACCCCACCGTTGCAAGAGCTGAGAACATTTGAATACGTAGATTCATCCGGTTTCACACCACACCTGCATAAAGCACGGAAAAGTTGTACGGCTTCTGTGCAGCAGCTGTTGGAGATGTATCCGAGGATCATCAGATTCCAGGAGACAACATCCTTTGATGGAAGCTCTGATAGTACGAAGCAGGCATCCTCTGTCCGACCCCACTTACAGAACATATCTATGAGTGAATTTGTGACAAGGGCATCGTCCACCAGTCCAAGCTTTTGGGCAAAGGAAAAGAACTGGAGGCCAACAGTCACACCATGTTCCGTGCTGCATAGTCGAAACGCCACTGAGAAAGTAACCTCAGTTGGGTTTGTACCTGTTGACAACATTCGGCGAAATGAGTCCACAAACTCGCGATCCTTGTCCTCCTGAGCAAAATCTGTCATCATAATATTCCAAGAAACAGCATCTTTCTGCTTTGTTCTGATAAAGACCTTTGCAGCTGGATCCTTCATGCCCATTCTGGAATACATACCGATAAGGGAGTTCATAACCATGGTACTGGACTCCATCTGATGGCGGATCACTGCTCCATGAATCTGCTTCCCGTAGTTTGAATAGCTGGAATTGGAGCAGCCCTTGATGAGACCCATGAATGTGAAGTCGTCACCGACGAGTCCTTCCGAATGCATCAGAGATACCACACGAAATGCATCATGACCACAGTCATTCATGATGTAGCCTTCAACCATTGCATTCCAGCATGCAAGGTCAGGACAGCAAACGGCCCCAAAAACACTTTCTGCAGACCTGATATCCCCGGATTTGGCGTACATATAGAGGAGTGAGCTGCCCACGAAGGAATTCACATCCATTCCAATCTTTAAGATGAGAGAATGGAGAGAAGACCCTAGAGGAATGTCCTCGAGGGCTGTGCAGGCACTGAGCATGCTCGCAAGGGCGAACTCATTTGGACAGAACCCAGCTCTTGTCATCTCTAGGTAAGTCTCCAAGGCCATATTGTACTCGAAGTTATTAATGCTCCCTGAGATTATGGAAGTCCAAGAGACGAGATTTCTCTTTGGCATTTCTTCGAACAGCTTGATGGCGCTCTCTAGAGCCTCGCATTTTGAGTACATAACCAGCAAGCAGTTCTGAGTGAATATGTCCCTGGAGAAGCCTGATCTGAAGATCTGAGCATGAACCTTGCTTCCCAATGGGAGACTCCTCGCCTTCGCAGCGAACGCGAGAGCGTCCGCGAAGGCCGTCGTCTCTTCGCCGGAGGCGAGGTGGAGCAAAGATGTATGGAAGTGTTGTCGGCGGGTTTCCCTCGCGCAGGACGAGAAACGACGGGCGTTGAACCATCGGAGGGGCCCAAATCTTCTCATGGAAAAACTCGGGAAGGAGAAGAACTCATCACGAAGTTCATGGAAGAAGAGAAGGATCCCCCCCCACCTTTTTTTCCCGGCGCGAAGGAGAAGAAGCTACAGCCGCCACCCCGCCCCAACTCAGTTGCTGCAGTTGACACGCCGGCCGCAGCCTCCACCGCCGCCGCCGACGTGGTTGTTTCCTTCAAATCCGGCTGCTGCAGGCTGAAATACAACCTCCAGGGACTCGAGCAGAGAGATGGGGAAGCCATGAATCAACCCTCCGCCGAACCGCAGGGAGCTCGCGGTTGGCTCCGAACTTCGCTCTTGGGGATCACAAAGACATCAGAGCATTAGATTGAAGCAACCCCTTCACTTTAAAGCTCTAACGATCGACTGGTTCGCCCTGAATCCACTGCTCAATGCCGTCTTCCTCATGTTCTTTGTCTCCCTGATGGCACGAACCATGGGCCGATATACATATCACACTTATTCACCATGTTACCGAAAAACCGTCCTTTCTCCTAAAAGTGTGAACTAACACTTCGTTGACTTGGGGAACATCTCATGTTCCCCCAACCCAGAGAACACCACTTTAAAATATTGTAAATATTCTTTCAAACCAAAAATTCCTTGAACCAGAACAAACTTGTTGATATGTTCATAAAATATGATGTTTATAAGGAAGTGAAAGTTTTCAAACATATTCATGAAGTCAAACAGCATCATAGCATCATAGTCAACTAGTAATCCTTGATTTTGACTTTACCAGTTCTTCCATTATTTCCAATGTAACGGAATGAATATTACCCCAGATAATCTAATGAAAAAATTTAGGTACGTAATATAAATATAGTTCTATATATATATATAGTAAGTTCAAAGCAATAAAGTTTCATAGTGTCAATGTGTATAATCTACATAGCAGTCTCTTGTCATCCATGTGTTATATAAGTGATAGAGAAATAATTTTCTAAGTAGTAGAACAATTACACATCTTTTGCATAGTGATGCACATTGAAGATGGTGTAATTAAAAATGTCTTAATGTTATAGATGCACATGAATTTAGTTGAAGATGAACGCTAACATATTCTTAATGTAATTCATTGAAGATGCACATTGACTTTGTTGGAAATATTCTTAATGTCCATTAAAAAGGAAGCAAAGTACTTAACATATTCTCCATCATAGATGATATGTGAAATTCATATAATGGTCTCCTATCATCCATAAGTTATATGTGAGAAAAATAATTATTTCAATTCTTTCACAAAATGCCTCCCACAAGTTGAGTTGATGAGGAGTTTGACCTATCCAAAAGTAGTAATTAAGGTATGTTAAGAAACTCTCAAGAACATCTTAGAGGGGCATGCTCACATGTTTCATGTGTCTTACATCGATGACAGTTGACCATAACATGTATAGTGGGGCCATCTATCTAAACCCTAGGCATGCCCCTCTACCCCTTCTAGGGAGGAGTTGACTTTGTGCAACCTTGTCCTCCACCCTTGAGTTGTAACACTAGTATACGCAGGCCAAACAACCTTTTCACCTATAGAAGAGCACACAAGGGCCGCCAAAGGGTGGGGGGTGTGTGGATTTACTCAATGGAGGGGAGAATACAGTAGCGGGCAGTATTCACCTTCCTCTTCCTTCTTGGGGACAAAGATTTGTCTCTTTTATAGGGGAAATGCCCATTTTCCAAGATCCCATCTTGGTGCAACACCTAGACCCAGCATTAATCAAGAGAGAGGCCCATGTCTTGGCTCATGGTGATCTTATCCTCCAGACTTGAGAAGAAGCTGCCGAGCCAGGCCAGCCCATTTGGAGGCGAACTGTGTTTCTGGATGGTGTTTCAGTAATAATGCAGACTTGACCATCGTTGTCGAGGTCTGGCGTGGCGAGGTCTTTTTAAGCCGAGCTGCTAGACTTTAGGGCCTGTATTCGCGAACGCTCCTGCGCTCTTCGGGGGAAGCGGGGCTCTGCGAGGTCGCTCCCGAGAATGGGGAAACCGAAGGGAGAAGGAGGGAGGAGTAAAGGGCGTCCCTCTAGTAGCAGGTGAGGGGCGTCCCTCTAGTTCTTCTGTTTTTTTGGTTGATTGCCGGCTCACCTTCATAATTCGTTGATTTTCCATTGATCGAGCAGCCTGGCAGCGTCGCTGTTGTCTTCTGGTGCTTCCAGCGTGGGCTTTGGGGGATACCTTGGGAGCTCTCGAATCGAGTCTTCTTCCATAGGCGAAGAAGCTGGGACTTCCTCTGTATTGTCTCTCTCATTAATCCCTTTTAATTGCCACCTTTCTGCTCAACGATGTCAGTTCTGCTCAACGATGTCAGACTATCTCCATATAGTACTTAAGGAAAAAAACTCATCTGTGAGCTTGTTTGTCCGCCTGCAACACTACTACACATGAAAGAATCGGTACCTGAATAATGATTGAACATGGTGTCAAGTCAAGACAAGCTGTTCGTATATAAATTAAAAGAGATAAAATTTTGAACTGTGGATGGGACTGGTCAAGATGTAACGGATAAAGTGCCAAGACGAGGGGGAGAGGGGGTTGGATAGGCCATTGTTTGTCTTTTAAAGAGTATGTTATCAACGGGAGGACCGTCGTATCTTTGTTTTCTGTCTTATAAGATGTAGCCTCATTTCGGAAGGTCTCTAACTGGTTTTCTTGTCAACCTAGAGTATCATCCCGACAAATTATACTTTCATATTATGGTTTTTGATGAAATCTTATGTGTACTCTCCCTCACCCCACGAAGACTTTACCTTGTTCCCGAAGATGTCAAAGTCTGTTCTCATTGCTGAAGAATCTCTGCCAATTTCAATTGCGATGCAAATCATGTTGACACAACTCTACCGATTCAGGGAGCAACTCCATTCCATCCCTGCTGATTCTTAATTAATGAAGGTTATCTGGCCTCTGGGTTTGATTCAAATTGGCTGACTCGTACAAAAAATTCTCTGATTTTATTTTTCGTGGTGTTTTCCTCAATTTGCTCATCTACACAGGGTAAAATAATTTAACTTCTTGCCTTCTAAATGTTCTGGCTTTATGCTTATCGCACTTCTGTTCAGTGTTATTAATTTCAATGTGAATCGTTTAACAAGTGAGCCTTTTTTGATATTTTCAAAGTTCATCATGGTAGACTTACTAAACATACAAACGGATATATGTCTTAGGATGTGGATGGTGAACTTGCACAGCATTTAAAGAGACTCGGTAGGAAGGATCCTATAACAAAGGTGAATCGTAACGGTTTTCCATTTCAATTTTCTCTTTCGTAGTTTTGATATGCTTCTGCTGTAATTTTTTACGTTTAATTCACGGTGCTGTGTATCTCATGCTTCATTAATCTTTTTGGTATCAGTTCCTTGTTTTCCTTATTTTCCTTATCATTTTTTCTGAATAAAGACGACTTGAATGGCAACTCATGTGCTTACTTATCTCGTAAGTTCATATGTACAAAGTAGTGATCCAATCCTTTTCCAATTTTCTCTCAAAAAAAATTTAATGGAAGGAAATGAATAGAGAACATATGAAGTCACAAATGAGCAACCGTGAAGCAATGAAAGAGCACACATTAGTATGCAGTACTTAAACGCTGAGAAAAGTATCTGAAGCTATCAAACCAAATTATCTCAGAATTTTTCTGGAGTTTAAGATTTTTTGGATGGTATTGTGAACCTACGTATGCCAATCTTTTTGTTAGAACTGTGGCCATAGTCATCATTGTTTCCCCATGTAAGCATTGAGGTTGCTCCGTTTCTTGAACTTGTTTTTTCCTTCTTGTCCTAACATATAAAATATGGGGCAGCTGTAAGTCATGCTAGCCTGTTTCATACTGGTGGATCTGTCATATAATAGCTAAGACCGGTTCCAAACCATCAAAGATCGGAGTTGTTTACTGTGTTCTATCAATATAGAAAAGCCTCTCAAAGTCTTATACATGAGATGGATAAAGACCATGGATTAGAGAGGGGGGCAAAGTTTCCTTCAGGTGACCATGAATTGTGAAGTAATCTCCTAAAACTCTTCGACGTCAAATGGAGATGTGAGAGTAGTTACCTTTTGATAGATTTCCGTGTATCTATGTTAAACACTTTGATCTGAAATACGTGTACATTGAGGCTCGTTCTTTTTTCCTAATTTCCATATCTATATCACAGGCAGGGCTTTATTGTTGTTTTGGATGCTTGGGGGATCACCTCCTTCCTTCCTATATTTCACTCCCCATTTCATCAAATGTCCCTGGAGCCTTGTTGTTATTTCTCATTGTCTAGAGGGAACTTCTCTTAGATGCATCGACCCATGAAATAAATGCCTATCTGCATCATCTGTCAAATCCAAAAAAAAATCTAAGTGTACTTAGAAAAATCCAAAATATTTTCCTCTCTAATTTACATTTTGGACATGCAGATTTTGGGAGGGAGAAACAAATCCTTGGGAAGAAAGTTGTCATGCAGCCCAAAGTGTCTGCTGTAATTTGTATGTCATCCTCAGGTATTCCCATGCCAATTACCTCATTTCTTGGGAAATTCACCTTTATTTAGATCACTACTTCGTAATATCGTTCCATCCTCACCATGGCTGAAAGAACCTGGCATTTAAAAGTTATCCATTATGTCGAATAGATCTTTCAACAGGAAACTCTATAGTTATTCCAAATTTGGTTTCCTATTCCTCAGTAAGGTGGGGTCCATCCATTGATGCCGAACAACATGGCCGAGAGAGAAAATTACCATGTGATTCCCTCCGGAAATTTGAAATCCCATGTGTTTCTCTACTCATGAATGTGGGCAAACACAATTCTTTCATGTTCCTTGATCAGTTCAGTCTATTTATCATGAACACATGTGGACAATTCTTTCTGATCAGTCCTTTTCATTCAATTTTAAAAAAAATAGTTTTAAGTACCTCAATCTACTGCTTTGATGTAGTAGATGAAAGACAAAGTGGTGGTGAGATTGGTGGGATCAAAAGAGGGAGTGAAGGAAAGAGACGCATCTAGGTGTCTATGTACAGGTGATCACAGTGGACAACCAAAACAACCACAAAGTGAATAATGGCTTGTGATTTCTTTATTGGATGGTTTTTAAAATTTAAATTTTCACAATGTAAAATCTAAGATATATCCTGTAGTGTCCCTATACTTTTTTTTGTGCTCTATAATTTTTACTGCCATATTTTTCTTTTGTCATGTCCTTTTTAACCAAAGCATTTATGATAAATCTATTGATCTGTCATTCATCTTTTATGGAAATAATTTGACATAGTGACGTATACACTGCAAATGCATCTGTGTTGAAGAAAGAGATTTTTTTATCCAGTTTGCTTTTGATGCAGGTCAAAGCTCTTACGACTTTAAGTGCACTCTTTAAACAAGTTTCAGGATCAGAGCTTGCAATTATTGTACCAAAATGGGTACGTTTCTTTTGTTCTCGAATCCACTCAGGAATTACCCCTTTTTCCAATTCAAACACATTCTATGATGTTATCATAGATCTTCCAACCCGCTGCAGAAGCTCCTCTTTTGGTTAGCTGGGTCACCAGAATCTTCCTCATTTAAATACCCACCTTCGATCTACGTTAATCCAAGGACATTCACACTTGACCTCCCCTCCCTCTCTTCTCCATTTCTCTAAATAAAAACCCAACCATGCTTCAGGTGACGATCCTCATCCTTATAACGAGATACATTTCCCTCCCTCCCACATGCTGCTCTCTGCACTCATTGTTTGTCCCCTTCCCGTTTTTTGTCTCTCATGATCTTCCTACACTTGCCACTCCTTTCCATTCTAAGCTGTCACTTATCCTTAATCTCTTGTTTTCCATGTTGTACACCCATCATTCTGTATTGCGGCATAACTTTTCCTGTAGGTTGTGCTTTTTATTTCTCTCTCCTTAGGATTTTTTTTCCTTTTGTTCTTTTCTTTTCGGGGTGGGGGGTGATCGTACGCCCTGTATAGCCTCTGATTTCTCTTCCAAGGCACAAAATACCTGCCAGAATGTAATTTGGAAGCAATGTTTTTAATAATTATCATGAAAAGTCCTTGACAATTTTGTTTAAGGTTTTGCTAAATGTGGATGACTACAAGAAGGGTTGCTTCCTTTTCAGGCATTTGAGTACAAGAAACTCTTGTACGATTACAGCAGGGATGTCCGGCGGTCTACTCATGAGGCTATGGCTAATCTTGTCGCTGCTGTGAGGTTTGATTCTTTCATGTTTGGCATTTTTTTCAATCTCGTCTTAAAAATATGCCGAATACCTATAATATAAATGAAGATGAGAACAGCCATTTTATGATTTTTAAATTCCCTGTGTAGAAAACATGCTGAATTGATTCGTATCTTGTTTTGCAAAACGGTTCTTATCTAATATTTGTCTGTGGGCTGTACATGTTCAAGAAAACAGGAGTATCATTTCATGAATTCTCAGTCTTTTTTTCTTCCCATGTGATTCTCAATTGTTGAAGAAACTGGAAACCAATACACTCCTGGGACCGAGATGTAGATGATCATGACGCATTCCCTTATTTATAGTACGCTTTGGTATCTGAAATGTTGGAATTGGATGTTGACTTTAATCTATGCCGGTCAAACATATTAGCCTAAACTTCATCTATTTTGTGCAAGTCTGTCTTTCTATATTTGTTAAGTTTTTGGATTAGAGAATCTTTTTATATTGACAAAAATATCAAACTATTGAGAACATTTTTTTTCATGTGGTCATGATCACGCTATTATATAAAAAATGTGCTATTGTGCACGATCAGAGCCTCAATGATTGCTAATATGATACTCAAATCAGAAATTCTGATTTGGCGGTAGAAGAAATACCAGGCTGAGCTACACGCTATCATAAAGGTCTTTATGTGATCGAAAAATATCACTCTGTGATGTAAAATGTTCAAAATATTTTCGTGTTCATATGCCCTATGTTTCCTTAAAGTTAGCTCTAGATTTTTTATTTGCTGTGCAAAAAATTCCGGCAATAATATTATCCACGATTTTCTGTCATCTGGATGTGTTGGCTTTGAACTTGGACAAAAACAGTTTCAGGCAGACATGTTATTCAAGTTACCTGAACTTGAACATGATTAATTCTTATGAGAACCTGTGTAAAGTGTTTGAATGTGTGCTTCTGAGATCTTTTTTTGACTCAACTTTTTATGGTCCTTTTCGCTCAGGAAAGGCTTGGCTCCTCATCTGAAATCGTTGATGGGACCATGGTGGTTTTCCCAGTTTGATCCTGTACCTGAAATTGCTCAAGCTGCTAGGCGATCGTTAGAGGTCTGGAGGCGTACCTTTTCTAGAGTAGTTGGTCTTTTTTTTTTCGTATTCTTAGTTTCCTGAAACCCTACACTTCTTTGGCTTGCAAAAAGGCTGTCTAACCAGTTGAAATGCATTAACATGTAGAATCAATGTTCAAATTCTGTAATCTCAGTACCAAAAATATTTTCGTTCGATTATTTGTTAAGATTACAAGATGCTTGGTGTTGCAATCTCGTTTTATAAGTCTTTATTGGGCACTCATGCTTTGTTCAAAATATGATAACTATCATTATGCCAATTTTTTGGCTTATGTTATTTTGTGACATAATATTCACAAACAGGCTGCTTTTCCTGCCCAAGAGAAGAGATTGGATGCCTTGGTTCTCTGTGCCAGTGATATTTTTCTGTATCTAGATGAGAATCTAAGGCTCAAGCCACAAGAGATGATGGAGAAATCTATCCCTACAGATGAACTGGAAGAGATGCACAACCATGTATGTTTTCGTTCTCCCTGAAGAGTGTTATCTCGTATTTTCTGTTGTTTAGGACTACATTACTATGTTTGTGCCGTCTCTTTCTTCAGTCAAAAGCATAATTGCCAATTCATGTTTAGTTGGCTAGACTTCTGTAGCCGGAGACATGTATACTGATCAACTATCTTTTTTATGACATGAGTTCCTAAACTTCAGATTACCTTTTTTGAGTTTTGGGATTATGCAGGAGTATTTAGTTTTAATGTTAAGCCCTTCCGTTATGAGGTTGCCCATGGATAGGGCTGGTGGAGCATATCCCATCAGCATCCCACTTTTTTTATCTATGCGAGCTTCATCTCATGAATGTGTGAAGTGGATCACATCTCGTGTACACATCAAAATATGCATCGTTTCTTAAATTTATGAAATGGGCCTCATGTCATAAATTTGTTAAATGAGTTAACATTTTAGAGACAGTTAAATGTCTCTAGGATGAACATTTATGCAGTGAGCTTTATTTCATTGACTCAGGAGTAGGCTTTACCCTTGAAACTCCTCGAATCAACTTCATGGATTATTAAGGTCTTCTAGCTGCCTTCAAGTTCATTCATGATTTTTTATGCAATATTTTTTTATTGCATGGTATAAGACAGTTAATTAAAACTGTTCCTTTAGTCGAAGAATGGATGTAATTAACCCTTACTCTGGTCTGTAGATTGGATTCAAATTTAAACCAACTTAAAAAGTGCAGTCTACGAATGGATCTAATATACGAAACACATTATATCTTGTCTTTAAGAAGACAAAAGATAATGAGTTCCCTAAAGAAATAAATCTAGATAGTATGTGGGTAAAAATCACATTACTTCACCATTCCTCACTACAGTTGCCACAAGAAATTCTGAGGAATAAGGAAACTATTGTCAGCCATATTGATGTTGATGATATTGTGGAAAGAAAAAGAATACCTGACGGTTACAAACTCCTTTAGTTGTGGAAAAAAGACAGTGAGAGAAAATGATAGCTACTGGCCAAGTTACCCCTACTTTTGTGGATAGGTGTAGACAAAATATACTCATATATTCACTGCAATGTTGGGGGCACTGATGTCTTTATGATGCTCACAACTCTCTTTCTGTTGGAGGATGGCCAACACGTGGTCACTTTTGAAAGGGCTCATGTGGATCTCCCCTTCATTAAAACAGCAGTCTTTGATATTCTATAAATAGAACCCCTATCTCATTCCAAAATTCATAAGGACAAACATGAGAAGAGAATGACGACCTTCTCAAGAAAAAAAGTGAGAATTGAAGAGACGCCTATAGTGAGTCAGAGATTTGAGTCCAATTATTTAATGCACTGTAGCCCATTATATTCTGTTTATAGTTATTAGTGAGAGCTCAATAGTCCAGTCACTTTATACTAGACATTTAATGAGCTAGATCTTAGTAACACATCATTTTTTTTTTGAATCTGCTATGTTCTTGACATAGGTGCCAAGTGTACAAACCTATTAACAAAATGTGCATGAACCTTTTAACCTTAATTGGGTTTTTTTTGAGTCAGAAAGCAGTTCTTTTGAGACATGAGCACTTCAATTTTGTGAGAGGCCTCTCAACGGCCAGAGGCAAAAACTATTTTGAGTAAATTACTGTTTGGGTAGAGACATTGGGCCACTCATTGTTTCAATTTTTGGGTAAATTAATAATAGGGCTTGTTTCGAACTAGAGCTTAGTAGCTAATAGTGATGATCTGTTTTTTTGGTTAGCAGTAACCCATCTTTAATTGGATTCCAGCCTAACTTTATTTTGATTTAACCCACCTTTTATTGTACTTCAACTCAACTTTTCCCCCTGATCTCAGATGGCTTGCAACAAGATCAGAGGGTAGGTGAGATTTTGATTGATAGAGGAATGGATTGTATTGTTTTGTGTTTGTAAGATTTTTGTTTAGTTTGGGGCTTTAATGAATCACACCCTTGTATAAACTTTTCAATTAATGAATATGCACTTTCAATAGCCAAAGTGATTCTTGGTCTATTCTTCAGGTGGAAATTCTTCTTTAATTTGATGGTTTTTTTTCATATCTTGCATTCTTTTCACGAATATAATGTGTATTTTTTTTCTAGGTTATTTCATCATCTTTGCTGGCAGTGGCTACCCTTCTAGATGTCTTAATAGGGACGAAACTGCAAACTGATGATTCAGACACTGCCCAGGAAGGACGGAAAGTTCCTTTAAAAGCTAGGCAGAGTATTATTTCTTCTGCAGAGAGAATTTTTTCTGCTCATAATTTTTTTCTCGAGTTTTTCAAGTCCAAAAGCCCTCGAGTTCGTTCAGCTGCATATTCTATACTTGGAAGCTATGTTAAGCATATGCCTCACGTTTTTAGTGTAGAAAATCTTACGCCACTTTCAACAGCAATACTTTCTGCTTTTCGAGAGAAGGATGCATCATGCCATTCTTCCATGTGGGACATGGTACTGCTATTTTCCAAAAAGTTTCCAGACAGTTGGTTCCAAGACAATGTTCAGAAAGGTTCCCTTGCTTCCCTTTGGCATTTTTTGCGAAATGGGTGTTACGGGTCGCAGCAAGTTTCCTATCCAATTTTGATTCTGCTCCTAGATGCCATACCTCCTAAAGCAATTATTAAGGAATCTTTTCTTCTGAAGTTCTTTCAGAACTTATGGGCAGGAAGAAATCCGCACTCTTCTTCTTTGGATCAATCGACCTTCTTTGAAGCATTCAAGGAATGTTTCTTGTGGGGATTATTCAATGCATCAAGGTGATAATTCTTATGAACTGATGCGGCTCTTTTTATGCTGGCATTTTGTTTCTGTCATAGATTTTTCAAAAACCTTTTGCAGTTTAATTTTTGGCTGACTTACATATATACAGACATTTTTCAGGGGAAGATAATATTTTTCATTTCCAAGTGACTCTAATTGAGAATATCGTTGTGCTGCTTCTGTGGCACGAATATATTTTCATAGGGCGAAAGGATGACCCTCAAGTTTTACATGCAAGATCTTTGGAAACTTCTAGTGTAAATTATCCTTTCAGCTATTTTCAGGAATTGGGTAGATGCATTATTGGAGTTCTTTCGAATATATCCCTGAGGAAAATTAGTTTGCTTGGTACCTTTTGTACGCCATTTCAAAAGGACTGCTTGGATATCTTGCAACAAGAAGAGAACTTGCAAAAATACTCAGAACAGACGGAACGAATTAGCAATTTTCTTTTGCTACTTGATCAACATGCTTTGCAGAAAAATGAAACTTGGTCTCTGAATCATGTTGCGGGGCCACTTTTTGCTGGGTTGTTCCCGTTACTAAGATCTTTGGTGAGTGTCAAATGTATTTAACGTAATTTTTTTCATTTTTTATCATCACTCTCAGGATTGGTCTACGAAGATGTGATTGTTTCTCTTGACTTCGTGCCTAATATTTTATTTCATCGCAACAAATGACACTTACTCGTGAATTCATCCTTCACTTTTTGATAAATGTTGGATACTCGTCAGTTTAACAGCTCCTCGCTCAAAATGAAAGTAGTCAATTAGATTTGCTTTCGTTTAGCAACAAATTTTCTGTATGCACTCCCCATATATCATATTCACCTGGTCAATTTTTTCAGATTGCATGTTACATAGGTATAAATATTTCGAAATCCAACAGTGAATTTTGGATGTTGGCATGTTAACCCAGGCTATCTATAAGTTTGAAGAGTTGTTGCTTCTGTGTGGAACCTGTTTTCTGGTACTACATTTCAGATGCTAATCGAAGACATCTGTGTTTTTGAATGTTGTTTTGGTAGTAACTTGTACATATTCCAATTTTTTGTGCACCTGGCAGACTTTCAACTTGGTTCCATATTGAAAGTTCTTCCTTACAAAAGGTTGTCTCCAGGGAAATCCGCTTACGTCATATTCATTTTGCTGTTACTTCAAATTGAAAGCTGTGAATCGTGTGTGAGATCAAGTTGGGCGATGTCAGGGAATTGTGGGCTTCATTTGGGGCCATGGAATGCATCAGAAATGCCCATGTAGAGCTGTTCTGATGAATTGATCTCACACACGATGCACAGCTTTTCATTTAATACATTCTTAAGCGTTGCACTTTCTAATTTATCAATCTATGATTATTCCGAAAATAATACATGATACCCTTGCCAAAAAGGCCGCACTAGGAACCATTTTCTGTTTATTCTCCCGTTGTTTTCCCCTTCTTACAGCTAATACAGGAAAGTTTGCTTAATATTTTTTCTTCGTATCTTAGTTTTTATCTGAGAACTGTAGGATCAGGTCGGCTGTTGACTTAGACAACTATGGGCCTGATTTATGTATTGGGTAGATACCAGAGTTACATCCTCTTTTCGTGTAAATATTTTTTCTATTGCTTTCTTTCCTAATGTAGTATTTGGGGCTGGGTCAACTTATGGCCAAATTATGGTTCTTGATGAGTTCTAGCTCTCCATGAAATCGCTTTTCTTCTTTAAATTCATATGGGAAGGCAATAATGAATGAACTGTTTAACAGAATGCTTCAATGTGAAATTGAACTAATCATATCAGGGTCGTACCACTGGGAGTATTGCTGCTGAGGCAGGCACAGAGGTATGATTCAGGCACGAAAATAATGTGAACACATTAGTGTGACCTGACAACTAGCGGTGCAATAGCATTGTAAATTTTTTGTTTATACCCAGGATCATTGTCGGTCAAGTATCATTGCTTCCCATTTGTAGTAGAGGGGATCACCAGTCTCATCCAGTAATGTATCATGTGATTAATATCTGAAGTGTTTTCTCCTACATCATAACACACAAGTGAGCGTTGATTTTGGAATGTGACGTGGGAATTAATATTTACCGATTAAATATAAATTAATGTTTTTGACAACGTCTTTCATTCAGTCCAAAACATTTCGGATACATGAATGTGTTCTTATTTCGGGTTTACTTTGTCAAGAAGTTTTTTTTTATCTCAGATTCTTGATGTGTATCTATTTAAATCCTGTACAGGACTCCTCAGATGTTGTCAATGTCTTGCGCACTATGGTTGAAATTTTTGGACCAAGAACTATTGTGTCACATCTCTTTACTTCAAGTGCGCATTACAGAAGTGTGCTATCTGATGAAGGTGATGACAAAGTGATAACTGACGTCTTTTTGGACCTCTTCAAGGAAGACTTTGTTCCTTTGTGTTTGCAGAAGTATACACGCTCTAGCAGTTCAAGGCTTGATTTATTAATTTCTTTACTTGACAAGGAAATTTTCTCTGAACAATGGCTTGTAATCATGCTACATGCTAGAATGTTGGAACAATATCCTGGAACTGACCATGTTCGCGTGCTAGCAATGCTGATGGAGAAATTAAGAGAAAAAATTGGTGACAGAACACCAGGAAGTAAGTTACAACGTATAAGTATCAATTCAGAATGCTGGCAACACGACTTCTTAAATTCTGTGGCAGTTTCTATTGCCTGCCAACGCCCTCCATTCAGCGAATCTGATGTTTCTTTTCTATGGTAACGTCTTGGCGTTTCTCATTTATAACAGTGTCACTGTATCTCCCATTATTACATATCCCTCCTGATGCAACTTGTTGCCTGTATATCGTTATTATGTTCATCACAAGTCGGGCTCATCTTTGTCCAATGGGTAACATAAATATTTATCAAAATTTGTTGAAAAGTTATCTTGCTTCTTCTCAACCCCAATGGATAATCTAAATATACCCGATCAAGAAATCATTATCAGGGGAGGGTATCTCAAAACTCATATGAGATGAATTAATTTTTGGAAAACATAAATCCTTAATCACAGTTTTTGCACATTCAAATGTACTCAGAGCACAATTTCCTATAAACTTTGGCAAAGAGATCTGAGAGTGAGCGAAGTGGTAACCTTGATGAATGGATGCATGATCTTCCTATAGGACAAGCTCAAAGCTTAGCCATATTGAATAAATAAGTTATGATCTGGATAACCAAATATTTTTTTGAAGAGTCATTCTTGGGGATAAGCATTTTTTGCTTGCAACGCATTGCACCCTTTGCTTCATATTTATTCAATTTCTTTCATAAGTTTACTTCTGTGAGCTTCGCTTTGCATCTTCCCATGCATTTTAGGCATAATATTCTCTAATGTAGCTCTACATCACAACTCTGTACTACTCTGGTGATAGTCAATGAAAATCCCAAAGCTACCCGCCCTGAAGTAGGAGCATTGGACCACAAATCTGCCCTGAACTCAACCAGGATGGATGGGTCAATAAGGAAACCAAGAATGATCATAAGATCACCCGTCTGAGAAATTGCTAGATGGGAAGTTTGCCCATATGACTAGTCATTTCACCCCATACTAATGTCACTGAATTTTTTTTTTCCCAAATGTAAATTTAGGGTCAAGACATACTATGCACTTGCCAGGAGAACTATAAATTTCAGTATCTTCGAGCAAAAAATACAATATTTGGATGTTTATGTCTGATTTCTCAAGTTTAAGTAAAATTTTGGAAAAAAATTATATTCTGAATGACATGGGTGTCCATTTCTTGTATGTTGTCTATATATGTTGCAGTGCTGCCCTTGGAGGGTCATCAGAATATGATCAAGCCTGCTTTCTTTCTGGAGAAACCGTGCTTCTTGTATTTGAGGAAATTCTAAAAAAATTGGTGGGATTTCTTGTGGTATCTCCTTTCAAGTGGGTAAAGTCCGCAAGCTCTTTATTGCTGGCCTATGAAACATGGGATTTAATTCAGAAATGGGAAATGCCTTTCACGACGACCCTTGAAATCGCTCAATTTGCTTTTGACATTCTTGCTGGTAGTATCTATTGCTTGAAGAGGCTTGATAATGAATGTGGATTGATTGCTTCGATTTTAGCCGCCATACTCATTATTGGATGGGAGTATAACATAACATCCGAGGCATTTGTGGATGACGAGTCCGAGAATTTTTTGGGTTCGACCGATGCCAGTAATATAGGCAGTGAAGATGTGTATCTAGGTCATGTTGGTGCCAGATTGGTTCTAGGGAAGAAAATGTATGAGTTCCGTAGTAGGATTGGCTCTTCCTTCTTAAGAAGCCTTACCTCATCCAGTCGTGCAAAACTGGAGGATGCTTTGGTCCTGACTGTCAAGTCTGCAATATCTGACACAGATAGATTCACTGTTGACAGGACAACTACTCTGTGCTGCAAATGGGTGGTGGGCATGCTTGAAGATATTTGTCGAGATGGCACTGCTGAACAACAATTGTTAACAAAGTTATTGTCAAACGATGAATCTTGGACTTTCTGGGTTGGTCCATGCTCTGGTGATGGTGGGTCTGTTACTATTCATTCTGAGAATCCAGACAATACTCATGTGAGAAATTTTATTCCTAGTCTATGTTTTTACTTTTTTGTATTTTTTTAAAATGCGAACGATTCTCTATTTTTGAATCTTTTTAGGACGGTGGATGGTAACAAAGTTCATTAATAACAGAAAAAAAATTAGAAACTTTTATTCGGTAGGGTGTAAACATGCTGGCATATTCTTTATTTCACGTGCAAAGTATCCTCGCCAAGTTGTGTGCTGACATACTCTATTAATAATGGGGAACAGTGAACACCAAGCCTTCTTCTAAAAAACCCTCACGGGGGTTTACTCTCCATATTGAAGTGTACCACACATATCTGCTCATTTGCCACAAGTAATCTAATTCCTCTACCACCTGTCAGCTACACCTCAATATAAGTAGGAGGTAAAGTGGTTCACAGGCCAGATGGATCTTATGCTCACTCATCTCGTAAGTTGCATTTTATTTCAGATCTCTTTCATAAAAGGTGGCAAATAATTACATCTAGGTACTAAAAGAGCCTAAACTAACCATGGGCACACTCCACATTAATAAATGGAATGTTTGGTGGAGACTTGTGATACAGAAAGGCAGCAGATATGAGAATCAGTTCGATATACAATGCTACTTACGCATATCCTCCCCCATCCCCATCTTTATGAGTCATCTTTGTACTACGGTTATGACCGTGTGACAGCACAATATCATCATCACCTTTTCCCCTTGCAAGTAGGGGAACAATATTCCTTGCTCCTTAATTATACACGTTTACTGTGCGTTGGCTAAATACTGAATGCAGAAGTGATGTGTTTTACCATCATTTTACTATCTCTATTCTTTATGGAAACTCCCACAAAGCGGATCTCCACCTTCTAGGATGCTGGGTCAAGTGGAAAAGATAAATAACTTTGCTCAATCAGTCATCTGATATCTGACTTTTTCGATGGCGCTTCTTCCTCATCGCTGCTAGACATCTGCTATCCCTTCTGTTCCAACTACCACGTATTCTTTAGGAAATAGTAATTCAATGTCTCCCACTTGTGGATCCATCTAGATTTATTGTTGATGTTTGTGAATTAGTCAATCATACTAAACGATTAACTCTGAAAGTTACAGGCATAATTCTCCATACCACGGTAAATGATTCAGCCCAATTGCTCTCTTGTTGCACTAAGTCTGTTGAGGTATATCTAAAAGGGTGAAATTTAGATATTTGCACCATTAATGTTTGGAATCGATTCCATTTTGAGCTGCAAATCTTCTAAATGAGAATTGCCAGTAAAACAAATTTTATACACCGCAGGTTTCTTTGTTCAATATATATCTTATTACCTGTATTAATGTATTCAACAAATCCTGAGGTCTCAAGTCGCTCCATTTAATGTCCTTTTCGCATAGCATGTTGATATTCATGAACTTAAGTCTGCCCTCAATGAGAACAGTAATTCCATCTGACCACTTTGTTACTCATCATTGAAATCAGGAGGTAGTTTTCTTTATCTGAAGCCTTGTAGCCTGTACCTCTGGACTGGGAACCAGAATATCTTATTTAACCATTTCTAACATCTTCTTGAACCTAGAGATTTCACTATTAGTTTTACATAGATACTTGTGTTAACTTAAAGCATTAATTGATTAATATGCTAAAGCATTCAGTTCCTAAGACACGGCCATGCCCTCCAGATGTGGAAAGAGATTCGAATTGCAATGGTACCTCTACATTAAAGTTCAGGTGTGCATTATTCCCATGAGACGGCTTACTGGTAGTTGCACTTCTTTGGCCGAATTGTAACTGCTAGTTAATGATTCATTTATCAACCTCCCATTGGTAAAAATATTTTTCCTAGATTTCCTCCTGGTATTCTCTCCGTTCCATGGAACCATTATGTTACTATACCTGCTTGATGTACACTGATTTTTTTTAAAGAAGAAACGGTACGCTGTTTGATACTATTTATCATTCTTGCAGGAATTTACGCATCAGAGTTTTTCTGCTTTTGTAAGCAAGCTTGTTTTGAATCTCGGAGTTGATAAAATAATTGCTGGAGTCGCATCACTGACTCATAGCTCACTTGCGGAAGTACCTAAAGATCAGTCTGTATCTTTATCTTTTTCTCGTTCATGGCTTGCTGCTGAATTGCTATGTTCATGGAAATGGCATGGTGGTAGCGTTGCAGAATCCTTTTTACCATTATTGAATGCTTTTGCTAAAACTGAATCATCGGCTGAAAAAAGCATAGTATGTTGTGTTGCCAAGATATTAATAGATGGTGCCATAATCCATGCAACCACCGGTCTGGCCACCTTCCTAAATCCATGGATCCTATCAGACGATGAGGTTGAAAATATTCAGAATCCATATTTGAGAGCTCTCGTTTCTTTACTGTTGACACTTACTTTCAAAGATAGCACTTGGACCGAGAGAGAGGCTAATTTACTTTTAGACTATACTGTGGATAAACTATTTGTTGGAACAGAGGTAGACCTAAGTTGTTTAAAGATTCTTCCATTTATCCTAAATGTACTTATTCAGCCCCTGCGTAGTGGGGAACTTACATCTGATGAATCTAAGGGATCATCTGCTCTGGATGCATTGACCGAAGACAGGGTGCACGGCTATGTCTTGAGTTGGCTTGAGAAAGCCCTTTCTCTGCCGTCTTTAGCTTTAAGTCGAGCTACCTCCGATGGTAATCATCGATTACTTTCCTTATTTGATTAGACATCTTTCATAAACTGTGGCTTTTTTTAAACGCATGCTGATTTTTCATCATCTTTATCACAGATTCTGTGGAATGGGTTCAAGTGGTCATTTCTTGCTTCCCTTTATGCATAACTAGAGAGAGCAGAAATATCCGAGTCAAAGCATTGCAGGATATCAATCATTTGGAAAGAAAATCTCTGCTGTCTTTATTTCGAAAACAAAAATGCTCGTTGGAGATTAATTCGGCAACAACGGCACAAATGATGTTAGCAAATTTAACAGCAGTTGCTGTTGGTTATTGCTGGCTGGAATTTGATGAAGTTGACTGGGACTACGTGTTTTCTCAGTTGCATTTATGGACAAATTCAACTGTTCTCGTGATGGAGGAAGCTGCAGAGAATGTTGATTCTATTATTGTGAATGCTAAGCCTGGTGACAGTTCAGATAGTGTATCGAGAAAGCTTGAGGTGGCAGTGCAGATCATCGGTCCTCAACCGATAAATATCACCAGGACTGCACTTATTATATTCTCTCTATTTTCTCAGCTTGCAGAAGATGAGGAAATGAGAACTTGTGAGGTGTTGCAGTCCATTAAGTCCAAAACTTGGGAATCTATCAAGAACGACCTAATTGAACACACACTTCGCCTGTTCTTTTCTACTGGTGCAACAGAGGCTATTGCGAGTTCCTTTGGTGCGGAGACATCGTCTGTTATTGCATCAAATAGGCTTTTATATTCTCAGTTTTGGGAGCTCGTTGGTTTCTGTGCCATCAATTCACCTGATCATGTGAGGACTTCAGCTGTGCAGTCAATGGATCTTTGGGGTCTTAGTAAGGGATCCGTTACTGCATTGTATGCAATCCTTTTCTCATCAAAACCTCTCTCTTCCTTACAATTCGCTGCCTTTCATATCCTTTCATCAGAGCCCGTCTGTCGCTTGTCAGTCCTAAAAGAAAGTTGCCTACAAGATGATACTCAAAGCGAAAATGTTGTTGGCTCGTCCTTGGATGAATCTATTTGTTTGAGGGATGAGATCTCTTGCATTATCGAAAAACCTGCTGCTGAAGTTCTCAAAACGGATTTAACATCGCCGCTTCGTGTAAGTATGGTGGATTTTGCACTATAACTATGTTTTTTTCACTATCTTGCATTTTCTGCCAGGATTTATTTTTTACTTACCGTTTTATTAATTTTATTTATTTATATTCAGATTGGAACTATTATGTTTTAATTGTTTTGCATGTGTAGGTAAATATATTTCTTGCATGGGCTTTGTTGCTGTCTCATTTACAGTCACTACCATCTTCTTCCCTTCTGAAAGAGAAATTGATCCAGTGCATTCAAGATTCCATTAGTCCACTGATACTGGATTTAGTATTCCAACAATTCCCACTGAAAGCAGGCTCATTACATAGTCTGAAGAAGAAGGACGCTGAGCTTCCCATTGAAACATCGAAGGCTGCTAATGGTGCAAAGCATGCGATAACCACATGCTCATTGTTCTTTGCTATCGAGACGTTTTGGCCCATTGATGTGGATTCAATGGCTTCACTCGCCGGCTCTATCTATGGATTGATGATTCGCCTCTTACCTGCTTATGTTCGAAACTGGTTTACTGCCTTGCGTGATCGATCTTCGTCGCAGTCTATTGAATCATTCACAAAACTTTGGTGCAGCCCTCCTCTCTTCTCGGAGGAGCTATCTCAGGTATCAGCTGACAAATTATATTATTCTTGTCTTCTATTTTTTTTCTATATAGAGCTTGGCTCGGATTGATGGAAAGAAGCTCAAGAGTAACAGCGATGCCTGATTATTATTTTTATTATTATTATTTTCTTCATGGGTTAGATGAAGGCATTATATAATCAAAATTTCCTGATGTTTTATCCTAAGAGAAGTTCATCTTTTCCAATCTGATCATTTGATCTAAATCGAACCAGATAGCCACTTTTTGGAAGCTAAATAATCTATTGATATGCTCTATGCACAGAAATAATACTCAAACTGTAACCAGGTCAATTCACCACTTTGTTACTGTCTTCTGGGTCAATCCCCTGGAAGGACCAATCTGACCCACCAATTTTTTGAAATGATATTTTGCATTTTTTTTGTATGGATAGGATAAAAATATTTCATTAATTAATAATTTTATTAGAAACAGAATCCATTGATTCGCACTCACAATGACTATACTAGCTTCACAGGGGTTAAAATTATTTTCTTGACATGTGCCTAAGGCAAGGAGAAAAAAGACGATTTGTGGCTCTGTAATTTCTTTTCTTTAAAAATTATAATTCTCTGTTTTTACCATGGAAAATAATAATTTTAGCGCTTTTATTGTCTGTCTCTTATTTGTGGTTTCTTTTTTCTCCATCATGTGAGCATAAATTCCTGAAAACATAATAAAACGAAATAGCATCAGCTCCAAGTCATTCTTCCTGGTTGCATTGGAAAATTTGGTAAATTGCACAGATTTTACTGCTAAAAATATGGTCAGGTGCTACATTGATGCGAAATATAAGGTTGTGCCGAAGTCAACCTCGCATATTCATTTAATTCACACACACAGACAAGCACATAGATTGCAACGTTGACTTTATTGTTTTCAAGTATCTTCAAATTGACCGTGAGCTTACTTACATATATAGAAGGAAACCTTATGATGGGCGAATATCATCTGTAATGTCGACCTAAACATGATAAAATTTTACAAAGCGAATCATAGAACTGGTAAATTATCAGTAGTGAATGGTTGCCATATACCTTCAACTGACATCATCATCGTCGTTGACTGAGTGTTAATAATTTCTCAGATCAAGGGGGCTGCCTTTGGCGATGATAACTTCTCTGTAACTTTGAACAAGTCTGCGCTGGAGATAATTGCCACTTATAAGAAAGAGGAGTCGGGAATGGATTTGGTCATTCGCCTTCCCGGCTGTTACCCACTGAGACCTGTGGACGTTGACTGCACAAGAAGCCTGGGTGTGAGCGAAGTGAAGCAGAGAAAGTGGCTTCTCTCCCTGACCGCCTTCGTTTGCAACCAGGTTAGTAATCTTCTATGCAAACTGAATCTCAAGTTATTTTCATGGTATCATCGATCAGATTCTGCAAAAATTGAGTAAATAGAAAAAATATATATATTATACATCACCAAAGGCAGCTCCCTTCTTGGCACAAGGGGCACAATAGGAAAATCTCTCTCTCTTTCTCTCTCTCTCTCTCTCTCTCTCTCTCTCTCTCTATCTATCTATCTATCTCTATCTCTCTCCTGCATACATGTTTGAGTTGTTTTCATTCATTGTACTTGCTTCTGTGAAAAGGAATTGTCAGAGTTTCTCTCTCTTATAGTTGAGCGCGGATTTGTTAATTGCAGAACGGAGCAATCGCAGAAGCTATTCGAACGTGGAAGAGCAACCTGGACAGAGAGTTCGAAGGGGTGGAGGAGTGCCCCATCTGCTACAGCATCATCCACACCACCAACCACAGCCTCCCTCGGCTGGCCTGCAAAACCTGCAAGCACAAGTTCCATTCTGCCTGCCTCTACAAGTGGTTCTCCACCTCCCACAAGTCAACCTGCCCCTTGTGCCAGACCCCCTTCTGAAGTCAACGTCACAGCCTACACCGACGCCTCGGTGGAGTGGGGACTTTGACCTCCGACCCATGATGACAACACACCCGAGTTTATTAGTTAGCCTCTTTTGTTCTCGGTCATATAGTTTATGATAGTGAGAGAGAGATATATAGTGAGCCCTTCCGAGTGTTGGGTCTGGTTCTCATTTCTCAATCTGTTGGTTCATGGGTAATTTATCAAGTTGCGTTCTTGGCCGCATTTCCGGTGACAGATTCTCTCTCTCTCTCTCTCTCTCTCTCTCTCGCTAGCGTCCAAAACCTCGACAACATTGCATCCTTTACGGGAAAAGAGCTAATTTTTCTGTTAATCTTGGTTTCGTGGAGATGGAGAGAGAGAGAGAAATAAACAGAGAGAGAGGGAGAGAGAGAGAGTCCACAGCCGGAGGCTGCTCGTCGACTGGGCATTCTCGCCATGGTTAGTGGAAGATGCGTATTCCTCGCGCCGGCTCCTCACCGGAGCAAGAGGCGATGCTCCTCCTCCATCAGTGCAACACCCTCGACCATCTACGGCAGGTCCAAGCTCTCATTCTCAAGTCCTCCCTCCATCGCCACCCCTTCCTCCTCGCCAAGTTCCTCCGCCGCTGCTTCTCCCTCCCCTCCCCAGAAGCCCTTCCCTATGGCCTCTCCCTCTTCCACCACCACCCAAATCCCGACGGATTCCTCTGCAACACTGCCATCGCTGCTCATCTCAGGGCCGGCCGCCCCGCCGAGTCCCTCCGCCTCTTCCGCCACATGCAGCGCCTCGCCATTACCGTCGACAGCTTCGGCGTCTCCCTCGCCGTGCAGGGCGGCGCCGGCTGCCGCGACGCGCGCGCCGGCTGCGTGCTCCACGGGCAGGCCGCCAAGCGCGGGTTCTCCGCCGACGTCTTCGTCCAGACGGCCCTCGTGGAGATGTACGCCAAGACCGGGGGCATCTCCATGGCCAGGCAGCTGTTCGACGAAATGCCCCGCAGGGACTTGGTGGCGCACAATGTGATGCTGGGGGAGTACGTCTCCTGTGGGGAGATTGCTGCGGCTCGGAAGCTGTTCGAGGAGATGCCTTCCAGAGACCTCGTGTCCTGGAACACGATGATCCATGGCCTCGCCGTCTCCGGCGACCTCGCCGGAGCGAGGGAGATCTTCGAAAGGAGCCGGGAGAGGGATGTGATCTCTTGGAGCTCCATGATTTCAGGGTACGCCCGGAGAAGGCTCCCCGGGGAGGCTCTGGAGCTTTTCCGGGAGATGCAGGTGGCCGGAGTGTCGCCGGACAAGGTCACCATGGCTAGCCTCCTCTCCGCCGCCGGCGACCTGGGTGCTCTGGCCACCGGCAGGATGATCCACGACTACGTCAACAAGAACAGGATGGAGATGGACGTAAAGCTCGATACCTCTCTTCTGGACATGTACGCAAAGTGCGGAGACATCGAGAGCTCCCTCGTCGTCTTCGAGAGGATGAATGAGAGGGATGTCTTCGCGTGGAGTGCGATGATTGCAGGGCTCGCCAACCATGGCCGAGCTGAGTACGCCCTCGAACTCTTCTCAGAGATGTTGTCCCAGGGGGTGGAGCCGAACGGGAGCACCTTCGTGGGGGTCCTCTCTGCCTGTAACCATGCCGGATTGGTGAGCAGAGGGCGAGCTTATTTCAACTCTATGGCCGGCGTTCATGGGATCGCCCCCACGATCGAGCACTACGGGTGCCTGGTTGACCTCCTGGGCAGAGCTGGGCATCTTCACGAGGCGAGAGAGGTGATCATGGCGATGCCGGTTGAGCCCGACGCCGTCCTCTGGAGGGCTTTGCTTGGGGCCTGCAGAGTTCACAAGAATCTGGAACTGGCAAGAGAAGCTGCCATCGAGCTGGTGAAAATGGAGCCTTGGGTTGAGGGGCATTACGTGCTCTTCTCCAACGTCCTCGCTCAGGCGAGCAGGTGGGATGGGGTGGCCGGCGTGAGGAGGACGATGAAGGAGAGTGGTATCAAGAAGGTTCCCGGGAGCAGCTCTGTGGAGGTCGACGGTGTTGTCTATGCTTTTATCGCAGGCGACCGGTCGCATCCCCGGAGCGAGGAGATATACGCAATGCTTGATGAGATGAACTGGTCAACTGGTAAGAAGCTCACCGGAGATGTCGCCGGCGCTGTTGAGGACGATGACTTCTCAGGTTGGTCGAACGAGTCTGAGCTTGCCTCTTGAAGGACTGGTGAGGATTGTTGGGCTCTGCTTCTTTTTTGATCTACTCCCCATGTTAAGTGGAATGGAAGAACCAGAAGAAGGAATGAAAGATGCCTTCAGAAGCTTTCCTCCTCTTCTTCTGCTTCAAGAACTTTTGCAGAGGAAGCTGATAAGAAGGAAGCAGATTGCAGTTACTGTTCTGATCTTCCGCTTTGCTTGTTGAATCCCGACGTAAGATTCTCTCTCTCAGTATCTGAATTTGATATAAACTAGATGTTTCTGCCGCATTTTGATTCAGAAGCAGTGGAATGACCGAATTCATGTTGACTCATGGACTGCAGAAACATTGTTCAGGTTGATGTGCCTCTACGAACATCCGAACCTGGTCCACCACCTGTTTCTTCCCTGCAGATGGAGATCCGACGACATCATCGAACTCAAGAGGGTATACTGCAGCAAAGGAGCGGATCACACGGTGGTCGTCGTCTTCCTCCACGGCACCACTCGCATATCCCAGTACGCCTTCTTCAGTCTCTACTTCGCTTACAGGACCAGCACAAATCGAGCGGAATTCAACGAGTATTTCTTCTCGTCAGCATAGGAGCCGCACTGCTCGCCAGCATTGACATGATTGACACTCCTCTTGGCCGGAAACAGAAAGATATCGTCGCAGACGAAGAGAACGATCAGTGGAAGAACTGAGAGATCCAGTTAGCGAATCAGAATGGATAGGACTATCCGATCCAGGCGACGACCTCCCAGTTGCCTTCCTCTCCTTTGGGTAGAACCTCGGACGGCCGGGTTTCGGTGAAACAGGTACGTCCACAACGCCGCGTACTATTCTCCGTCGCTCCTTCCAGGATCTTCGTCACTCCGGCTGTCCACATTGACGCCGGCTTCCTGAGATGCGCAGTCATGATCTGGTGATGTTGCTTCTCAGTTTCCTCTGCGGCGGTTACTGGAAGATTCAAATGAGTAGGAGATTCCACAATCCGGCAAGTGGCAGGCGGCAATGAAGACGGTCACACAGATGGCCCCCATCGTCTCCGTCTCCGGCGATGAGATCAGACAACAGAGACAGCCGGTCGTCTCTTGCGGAAGAAAAATCCTCAGAGTAGAAGTGTCCGCCATTGCTGCGATCCTTGTATCCCCCTCCACACGGCGACCGCGACAACTTCACGGACGAGGAATCTTCGGTCTGAGGCTCTCCCTCGTCGTCGGTCTTCGGTCCGACCTGTTCAAGCCACTCCAGTAGACCTCCCCCTCTCCTTTCTCCTTCCACCACAGGATCTCCGAGCCTCCGATGTCCCGCCGCCGCCGTTGACCATCTTCTCCGGCGGGCCGCCTCCGTCGGATGGCCCACGCCACGGCCGGTCATCATCGTGGTTAAACCTTTGAATTCTTGACTTTTAGTTTAGAGAGATCGGGCATGAAAATAATTAATAACGTAGTATTAAAATAAATCAATTATCTTTTTTTGACCGAAAATTCAGAGTCCCTTTCTGGAAGTCATTATGGGGTGATTTCTCCCAACGGCACAGGGCAGTTCAGTAAATACACTCCGAGAAGTGATTGATGTCTGCGTGGGGCCCAGCCGCGGTTTGACTTCAGTGGTGGGGGTGCCGCGAGTCAGAGGAACGTGTTCATCCCGCCGAACGTGAAACGTCAGTAAAACCAGTGTGTGGACATTCCTTTAATGTCTCTCTCTCCCTCTCTCTCTCCCCTGTGGGATGGAATATATAGGCACGGGTAAGGGGAAGAAGGGTGCAGCAGGAGGAGGGAGGAAGAGATAGAGAGAGGAGAAGAAGGTTTGTCCGGCTTCAAGGTTCCATTTCTCTTCTTTTGGAACTTCTGCAACTCTGGTCTCCACCGGCGAGGAAGGCGAGGGACGGCAGCCTCGAGAAGAAATCTTCCCCGGCGATCGGAGCTTCGATGGATTCGGCCGGCGGCGATAAAGCGGAGGAGCCGCAGATGAGCCGTTCCGGCGTGCAGACGCTCGGGGACTTCATCCCCATCTACATCCCCACAGTGCAGGAGGAGCCAATGGAGGAGCCCCCTCTCGAGAAGAAGAAGAGGTTCCTGGATTTTCTCCGTGCTCGGCCCTCCGGCGACCGGTTCCTCAACTCCGGCGTCTTCAGGCGGCGTTTCAGGGTCCCCTTCGTGAGGAAGATCAACTGGAATTCCCTGCTGAAATCCGGGAAAGAGTGGGTGAGGGAGCCCATTAACATGGCCTTCTTCCTCTGGCTGGCCGCCGTATTCGCCTGCCTCTTCCTCTTCCTCCTCCTCATTAGTGGGATGTTCAATGGTGTCATCAGCGAGAGCTCCCGCAGGAAGAAGTGGACAGAGGTAGTGAACCAGGTCCTCAACGCTCTCTTCACCATCTTCTGCCTGTACGAGCATCCGAAGCTCGCCCACCACCTGGTGCTTCTCCTGCGATGGACCTCTGAGGACATGGACATGCTCCGGGCACTGTACTCCAACAAGAGGATCACTCCCCCACGGAACGAGCGGGCTCACATGGCCATCGTCATCGTCCTCCTCCACATCGCCTGTTTCTCTCAGTACGTCCTCTGCGGGCTCTACTGGGGCTTCAACAGGTCCAACAGGCCGGATATTGGTATCAACGTCGCCCTCGCCGTCGGGATCGGCGCGCCGATCGTTGCTGCCGTGCACGCCCTCTACGGCCCACTGGGCAGGAAAGCAAAGTCCGGCGGCGCCGAGGAGGAGTTGCAGCTTCAGGAGGCGCCGCCGCCGCCGCCGGTAACCGGGAAGACGGCGAGGCTGCACAAGCGGGTTGTGGTCACCAGGCCGGAGTGGATCGGTGGGCTCTTCGACTGCTGGGACGACATGGTGGTCGCCTACCTCTCCTTCTTCTGCACCATCTGCGTCTTCGGGTGGAACATGGAGAGGCTAGGGTTTGGGAACATGTACGTCCACATCGCCACCTTCGCGCTGGTCATCGTCGCCCCCTTCCTGGTCTTCAACGCCGCTGCTCTGAACATCGACAACGACGTGATCCGGGAGATGATGGCCATCTCCGGCATCGTTCTCTGCTTCCTCGGGCTGGTCTACGGCGGCTTCTGGAGGACGCAGATGAGGAGGAGGTTCAAGCTCCCGCCGAGCACCTTCTGCTGCGGCTTCCCCAACATTACCGACTGCTTCCAGTGGCTCTTCTGCTGGTCCTGCTCCCTCGCGCAGGAGGTAAGAACGGCGAACTTCTACGACATCGCCGACGACGGGTTCTTCTCCAAGAACCCGCCACCGGGATCGGCGGTGGAGGGCGGTGACGGTGGCGGCGGGAACAGAATCCATTCTATTCCCATCTCAGAGTTGCCGGAGCTGTTGAAGGAACCAGTGGTGGAGCTCCCCCAGAGGAGCTTCTCTTTTCCGGCGAGGATCAGCGACGTGTTCATTCCCATGTGGAGCCATCCAGGGAGAGTCGCAGACTGCAATCAGGCTGGAGATGGATCCCTTTCCCCACCTCGGCCTCCGACGATGATCCATGCAGAGGGCCAAAGACGCTGCTTGCAAAGATCTGAGTCCCTCTCGTGTCCACCCAGGGAATGACGATCTTCTCTTCTCCACCTCTGCAACTCTTCTTCGGCTACAGGGTCTTAAGGGAAAGACGAAGCTCTCTTCTTCGCGTCCAAGTTGTACAATCTCGTTCGATTAGTCATTGAAATTTTCTAGCTGTTTTTTGTCAGCAATCTGTCGCTCTAGCGGGTGCAACACCGGCGTTGACTTTGTGGACGTCGACGTCAATTCTCTCGACTCGACCCATCGACCTCTTCCATCGCTGTTCTCGCGGGCGGCAGTAAAATATGCGCAGAGCTTGATGAATAGAACGATCGGAAACGCCCATGGCGGAGGACCCGGGGCTCTCAACCAGAGGGAGCACCCCTCGTTGGTCATGTCAGAGGAAGTAAAGGAAGAAGTCAATTACGGCCACGAGGCGACGGCGGGAGACAAGGGCGCCATTAATTAATATACAGACACCACACCAGCCCGCACCATGGCCTGCTGTGCTCATGGCCACGCCTGCGGGAAATATCCAAAGCCTAGAACCCTCGCCCATTGGAACGTCTCACCTTATCCCCTCATCGCCTCCTCTCTGGTCCCCGTCGTCAGGCATGCTGAATACAGGAATCCATCATAGGTCGTCGTCCTTCTCGGCGTGATCGCCGCTGAAGGCAAGCGGGGAGGGAGGAGCAGGAAGGCGGGGGGAGGCCAATGGGGGACGACAACATCAGGGAGCCCCTGGTCCGTCCTCCGCCGCCGGATTCTTCTCTGGTCAGGCGGATGTACGCTGGGCACTTTCTGGCCAGATGGGGGGCGAGGTAGGTTGCTTCCGAGCGTCGCCGACCTTGCTCTCGCCTCCTTCTGGTCTAGAATCCCCGATGGGAGAGACATCCATGGATTCCATCCTCATCTGATCATCATCACCATCAACCTTCCCCAACTCCTATTTTTCTGATTCATGCTTCGTCTTCTGCCATGCCACCGGCACAAAAACCATTTATTTTTTTTCTGATTTCCCGTTCATTTAATGCGCGACATACACTTGAAGATGACAGCGATCATTCAAATCTCTGACGCATTCATCTTATTCACAGAATTTTCCCATCATTTCCATAGTTCTCTTACATTTATTACTGTTATTGATTCTGCGATGTTCTTCATGTTCTTGCAGGATGTGGGAGTTTTCGGTCGGCCTGTACATGATCAGCATCTGGCCAGACTCTCTGCTCTTCACTGCCATCTATGGCGTGGTGGAGTCGGCATCGATGGCACTGTTTGGGTCACTGATCGGCAAATGGGTCGACAGATTATCATACGCACAGGTACACATAAATTTCAGATTTTTTTTCCAGAATTAAATGCGAGAAAAAAAGAATAAAAATCATAGAACAGCTATTTTTGGCATCAGGTCCTCCGACTTTGGCTGTTGACCCAGAACATGTCATTCATGGTTGCTGGGCTGGCAGTTGCCACACTACTCATTGACCAGAATGAGCTACAGAGAGGGTCTCCGATGTTCATGTTCCTGGTTGTTCTAACCAACATATCCGGGGCCATTGGAGTTCTTTCCACTCTCGCAGGAACCATACTGGTCGAGAGAGAATGGTAATTTTTTATACTATTGATGGCACTATTTATCGCCAAGAATATGAAAATATATAATTATTT